TCTCGGATAAGGATCATCGTCGGCATCCAAGCCCGCGGCATCCTACTCTCACGAAGTTCTACCGGAAGAAGGATCTTAATCACTTCGCTGCCACAAAGTGCAGTGCACGGTCCTCAAGCTATGGTCAGCGAACCATAACGGTAAGGAGAAATATATCAATACAGCCAAAGTTTCGTAACGGGCCGTTCCAACTCGGCGCAACATGTATGCTACCACCGTGGACACATCGGGTTAATACAATCAGACGCAGAGAGCAAGTGGGAAACGATGGCTGCCAAGATGACGATGTCAACTTTTCCTCGAACTGAGTGATGAATTCGGTGACGTGGAATTTCAACGACCTTCGGTGTTATCCTTCCGACTGAGAACATGACGAATGGACCCCCATCGCGTCCCAAATGCACCGCTGCTTGCTGTTCTTGATGTGACGCTGCTGCTCTTGTCCGTTGGGTGGGAGGTCCGCATGTGAATGCTCACCGCAAATGTTCCAGAGATGCTTCGTTACACTGAAAGGGAAGATCCCCGATTACATCTACGAAGACTGGAGCGCATCTTTATCCAGGACATTCCACGCACTGCAATGCCGATTCCACGGAGAAAACTTCCAGCAGTTTTTAAGTACGGGAATCACAAGAGGCTGCTAAACTGCACCCGAGAAGTCTGACAAGACTCTGGTGAAGGATTATCAAAAAGGGTTACGTCTTACCTTTCGATAAGCGTGTCATTCCTTTCGGCTTGACTGTCACGTACCCCCCAGGCAGGTGGACCTGGACAAACAAGTACAAAGAAACCGAGAGTGATCTTTGACAGTTCTTTCCGTCCACCCATTCTTCCGTTTCTATCAACGACTGGACGGACTCTTCGTACGAAAACCCAATTGTCTGTGTGGCTATCGAACAAGAGTTTATGAAATGGCTGTTGAATGCGCGGATTGACGCAGAGTTTGAGGAAATTTACCTGGCGACGATGACGTCAGTGGTGCCTTCCGTTTGTTGAAATATCATCCCAATTTGTTGCCATCATACGAGTGTCCTGTGTGTTTCGGCGTGTTTAATACCGGTGGCACTTTTGGAGACAATACAACTCCCTCCAACTGGGACCGGATTGCCCTTGCTCGTGCCTGGCTTGCTCGATGGCTGTGGCTCAATGAGCCAAATGTGGTTGAAATGGCGCCAATATTTACCAACGATCCAGTTCAACCCAGAACCGACGGAGGCTGAAATTGCCAGCTTTTCTAAAGCCACCCGCGATAGTCAGCATCAAGGCATCCATGACAGCGATGGTAATCGTCTCCCACCGCCTTTCCTTCACATGTTGATGATTGTGCTAAAGCTGATGTGAGGGCTATATGGAGCGAACGATTGCATGCAGCGTCTTAGCCTTTACAAGATTCTCGGTGAGCCCTCTCCTGACATCAGCAACCCATTGAGTTTGGAGAAGTTGGATCCCCCCATGGCCATTTGCGCCGATTGTTGGCCGCCATTGGGATACTCGGCGATTGTCTATCTCCATTTGGAGCACAAGAAAACTGAGCTCATTTCCCGCCTCGAGGATTGGCTCCAGAAGGATCGGTTCTCATTGCTCGAGGTGCTGAGCTCCTAGGCGTCTTGGAAAACCACACACGCTATGTGGTGTGGGCACGCCCTTGGTTCTTTGCCCTCCAGAATCGGATGCGTACCTTGTTGCAGCGCCTCTATTTCACCCAGCGCAAAACCTGGGAACGAATTGGCAAGCAGAAGGCAGCCGACTTGCATGCAGAGCTACTGAGGCTCTCTGGAAACGTGTCAAAAACATCTTGGCACGGGAGAAAGCCCTCCTGATTTGGCGCAACAAAGGAACCCAGACGGTCGATTCGTCCCTTCGCAGTTCCTTGTCCAACATTCTCCATTACTTGAAGTCAGATCCTATTCCGTTTGAGGCCAAGATCGGAACCATCATTCCCAGAGACCCCCACGCTATCGCCTGGGGCGATGCCAGTGAGTCGAGGAAGACTCCTATCGCCATGACTCTAAGCAGAGCAATGTGGAAGCACACTTGCTCCTGCCTGGACTGGTACGTCACCGTAGATAGAGTTAGGGTTTCAAGGGAACTGATCAGTCGGTAGGAGCCAATCCAAGCCACATTGCTAGCAGCCACCAATCGATCGAAGAGGACAATGGCGTCCTTTTCTTTTTAAGGGGCTACTCAGTTCAATGTTGGTTTCCAACGGTTTTGGCTAGGTGCACCAGATTGCACCTTCCAACGGTTTTGGATCCCAACGGTTTTGGATTGGTGCACTAGATAGCACCGTTTCCCAAACTCTAGCACTATCGTTTCAACACTGCACACACAGGTGTATTTAGTCGTCCCTAAATAGTCCTAGTGAACTGCCCATGTCATCCGGAGTGCGGACGGCTGAGGCGGTGGCTGGGAGTCGAGGAAGACTCCCCTAATTTTGGAAAGATTCGGAGGACAAATCTTTTTTTTGCCACGCCATTCCATTATTTTTGCCGATGTCAACAGGGACTGCGACCATTCATCCGCCACTGACAACCGGAACTGCTGTCGGCATCAATAGCCAACAGCCAACACCGTCGTATCTCACTATAAACACCCCTACACCCCATCAAACTAGGAACGCCAGTGCCTCTACCAAGCATGGCTGAGTCTGCTCCTTCCTTTCTTCACGTCGAACAATCGCTGCCGATTTGTGTTGCGTTGGCAGTCACTGGAGGTCTATTTGAAGTGGCAGCCACAGCAGTGACGGCCCTTCCCAGCGTAAGAGCTGCCAAACACACCACAAAGAGACCGTGGTGGTGGAAATACATCGCAGTGGCTGGAAATGTGACCCTTCAATTGATTGGGTCACTCATGAGTCATCTGGTTGCTACCTGGTTTGGTCCAGTTAGCATGGTGGTACCTTTCTTCTACTCTTCTACTCTCTTGTGCAATATGCTCATTTTTGGAGCTCTACTGGGTCTCGAGTTTTTCACCAAAACAGCTAAGACAGGAACGCTAGTGATTGTCGTGGCAGTCATCTTGTTGCCAGTGGTGGGTCCCACTGTCCAGGAAGGACAACAGATTGGAGCGCTGATGAAGCATTGGTACTCGAGCCTTTGGCTTTCCATCTTACTTGTCATCATGACAGCAACAGGGATACTCATTTTTACAGTTGACATTGCCCAGAAGTGCACACAACGCACTATTATACTGATACTCCTGGCAGCTCGGGCTTCCTCTATTGCCGTGAATCTAACCGTGAGCAAGGGCTTCGTTTCCAATCCAAGCGAGTTTGTGTTCATGTTGTTTCTCGTCTTGAAGATTGTCAGTGGGGGGATCTATACCTATGCCATTGTGGTACAATCCACGGCAATCGAATGCCAGTCTCAGTTCCTTCCCTTGAACACGACAACTATTATTACGGTAAACGCACTCACAGGCATTCTCATCTGGGAAGGTAAGCTCCCTTGATTGCTTTCGCGCAGCCATCAATCGCAGGCGCAAACCTCACTACTTTCATGCGGTATCCAACCATGTAGACTACAAGGTAATGGCCAGCTGGTACGGCTATTGCTGCGTTTTCTGTCTGCTCGGTCTGGGATGTGAATTGTTGCTGGATACCGACGTTCCATTGTTGACAGAAGACAATCCTGACTTTGGTATTCACAAACGGGCAACCATGGTCATGGTTACCACTCCCATTGAGCATAGGCGGAGTAGTATTTTTGGAAGTACCCGACACTGGGGAGCACAATCCATGCCACTGCTGCCGAGTCAATCTACTACTTCTCGTATTGAAGAAGTCGACGAATCTGGAGAAGAATCTGATGAGGAGGAAGCCCTCCCGCGTCCATCATCAACGATGTCGGACGAAGACTCTGAGTCGGATACGGAATCCGCCGAAAATCGGCCAACAATGTCAACTCGGGATGCATGGAAATACATCATTGGAATTCCGGAAAGCACAACGAAGAGTATGCAGAAGAGTGCGAAGGATTCGTATGGCGCAATCTCGTCCATGACATCGAAAAGACTCTCAAAATCCTCATCCAGTGCTATCAGTGCTACTTCAAAGGCGACAAAGGCTATTTCAAAGTCTTCGGCAAAGGCTGCGGGTGCCACAGTGGCTGCAGCATCAAAGGCTACACATGTAATTGCAAAGTCTTCTGGAAAAGCTGCCAAGGCTGCAGTTGGTGTTACATCGAAGGCCACACATGCAATCACCGAGTCATCTGGTAAAGCTGCGAAGGCTGCAGTTGACGTGACAACAAAGGCCACGAAAGCGGCGTTGCAGGCACCCTCAAAGGCAGCTGGTGCCACGGTGCACGCAACAAAAGCAATTTTGGTAGCGCCCTCCAAGGCAGCTAGTGCTTCGATGCAGGCAATGACAAAGGCAACCCATGCAATCACTGATTCAAAGGAAAGAGCCGACCATCCTGAAGACCGTCGGGCAGGCTCTGTCTCGTTTGAACCCGTGGAGCCTCCAGTTGAACCTGCAAAGGACACAGCAGCAGCATCATCTACAACCACAAAACCCCCAGGAAAAACAACCAGTGCCAAAAAGAGTTCTGTTTCAAAAGCCACCCATGCACTCACAAAGTCATCAGGGAAAGCAGCAAAGGCCGCAGTGAGTGCAACTTCAAAGGCAACAAAAGCAATCTTGGAGTCCCCAGCAAGGGCAGTGGGTGCTATGTCCAAAGCAACCCGTGTGCTCTCCAAATCACCATCAAAGGGCGATACAACAATGATAACACCACACTCTTCAGATCCTAATGTCACTGAGGCAACAACATCAAAGGTAACAGAAGCACACTTGGGGTTACAAGCAATAGCTCCCAGTGCTGCAAAATGTCTAGCAAAAGCAACGCCAGCCTCATCAGAGCCACTCTCTGCAAATGCCAACACCACAGGGACAGAAACATTAGAGACAAATAAATCGCTCTCCTCAACTGCCCAAGCCCCAGGGATAGAAAAATTCGAGGCCAATGAAGCTATGCTAGAAATCCCCGTCAGGGCTGTTGATGCCACAGAAAACACCGTGTCACAACTTGCTCCAGAGCTGCCGGTGGCAATGGCTGAGACAAGCCTTCTGGAAACATCAAATACAACAGCTGCTCTTGATGTGGCACCTGTTGCGCCAAAAGCAACAAAAAGCATAGTGAAATCACCAGTAGACGTGGCTAGTGGGGCAGCGACTGCAGTATCAAAAGCAACTGACAAGCTCACTGAGTCATCATCAATGGTCCTGTCTACCACAATATCTGCAGCATCAAGTGCGACTCATGCACTCACAGAGTCAACAACAAAGGCTTCACAAGCAATCACAGAATCATCTATGAAAGCAGCAAGTGTCGCTGTGTCCAGATCATCAAAAGCAACTCATGCAGCCGCAAAGTCTTCAGCCAAGGTTGCCAGTGTCGCAGCATCCGCAACTTCAAAGGCAACACATGCAGTCATGGAGTCTTCGTTGAAGGCTGCACGCGCTGCAGTACCTGGAACATCAAAAGCAGCCCATGCTCTCAAAGATTCAACATCAAAGGCAAAACATGCATTTGCAGAATCTTCCGCAAACGTGTTTAGTGCCACATCATCTCTGACTTCCAAGGCAGCTCATGCACTCACTGACTCATTGTCAAAGGCATCGCATACACTCTCCAGGTCATCATCATCATCATCACGAGCCACCAATACAGAAACAGAAACAAGCATGTCCAGGGCAACAGAAGCAGTCTCTGAATCAATGGGGTATGCTACAACAACAACTGTGGATACTACGTCCAAATCAGAGCAACAAATTGCAGCATGGAACACTAAAATGGCAGAAGAATCAATTGATGAACTATCAGGGTCATTGGAGGTGGCCAGCATCGATGCTCTGGGCACAACCTCAGAGTGCAATCCTAAAGCCTCGCCATCATCCCAGGGCGCTTCCCCTGAATCTCCGTCATCGCTTGTGGTTGATGACATGGTGACACTACCAGAATCAATGGCTGTGGCTCCGGAGTACAATGCAACAACATCTGCAACATATGTTGCATCTGTTGCATCTGTTGAATCCAAGGTATCAAAGGCAGCACATTCACTGACAGATTCAACATCAAAGGCCACCCATGCAGTTGCTACGTCTACACTGAACACAGCAAGTGCCACAGCATCAGCAACTTCGCAGGCGGCACACCTGCTCACAGACTCTTCCCTGAAGGCCGCTAGTGCTACAGTGTCAGCCACTTCGAAGGCTGCTCATTCGCTCACAAAGTCATCAACGAATGCTGCACGTGCCACAGCCTCTGCAACATCAAAGGCAGCACATTCACTGACAGAGTCAACATCAACGGCAACTCATGCAGTTGCAGAATCTACAGCGAAGGCTGCTAGTGCCACAGCAGCTGCCACAACAAAAGCAACCCAAAAGATGTTGAAGGGAGTCACAAAGCTCTCAGGCAAGGGCTTGAGAAGTGCGCTGGGAAGAAAAGATAAGAGCTAGCCTGATGGGTGCCCTTGTGGTTGCTACAACAGAACCTATTTTTAAATAGGTCACAGTGTTTTAACACTGTGACACCAAGGGCCTGGATAGTGCGTCTGACGATTGTTTGGATCTTTCGGGCATAACAGGTCGCTCATTGTGGGACAAGCAACCAACGCAAAGCACGATGGCACGGGAAGCCACGATCCAGCCGCCTGGTACCTTGCGGCCTTGCGGAACCACGAGTCGCCAAAGGGTCTACTCAAATTTCCAGTGTAGCTAAGTGTGACTGACTGGCGCGCGTAGTGTCATTAGATACTGCTCGAAGGGAGGTGGAAGCAACCATCGCCAGCTGTGGCTAACTACCGAGTATCTAGCCGGCATCTAGCAGGGCAGGAGAGGTACTGGCACCATTAGTCGAAGGAGTTAGGTCAGTTGATGCTCTTTACATAGAAGGGCGGGTCGAGTTGCCATGGTCGAGACGACTTTGTAGAATCCGATGCAACCGTTCCTCGACATCACGGTTTCCGACGCTGCGACACTGCGACCCTGGTTTTGCCATGGTAGCCGAAAAATATAGGCAGAACAACCTAAATAGACGTCAACACTTACTCCATTAACAAGAACGCATTCCTACCACAGCTACTACGCTCCACAAGAACACATTCCTACCACAGCTCCTACGCCCAACTGATGCCAAGAGGCCTACCAAGCCAACCATGGCCGTCGTACCAACAAGCAAGCTACACAACCCACGAAACACGCAGCACCCACTCTTTTTCTTCCATTGTCAATCTTCTCACAACTCACAGTTTTGTTTTCCACAAGCAGTAGCGTTCAGTCAACACCAACCTTACAACAAGTACTCGTAGACATCTATCTCTCCTCGAAGGACAAATCTTCTTTCAAGAACCACTCTCGTAGACATCTATACCTCCAACAAGAAGAGGCAAGGACTAATATATCTATCTAAATCAAGTTTTACGTTGTAATATCAACTATCATGGTCGGATTTCTGGTCAGCACAGGGGTATCCTTGATGATGAATGGCATGTGTTGTGCGTATCAGATGCATGGGGAGAAGGAGCTCCGTCAAGCGATGCGTTCCGACATTCGAGAAGAGTGGCGGCAGCAACGAGAAATCGAGGCCAACGCAATCTCTCAATTCGAAAAGGAGGCGGAGCGTCTTCGGTTTGAGTCTCTGGAACAACGCCACATGCTTTTAGAATTTCTCAAGCGACAGCAGCAAGGCGAAAATGAAGAACGAAGCGAGCCTACTACTACTATTGATGCGTGTAGAAGTTCATCGTCTTCTTCCTCTTCCTCCCGCCAACAACGGCGGGCAGCTTGCTGCAGCCAGAGCCGTGCATCTTGTGCCCGAGATCGACAATCAAGATCCGGGAAATGGACACAACCATCGCTGTTTGATGACGACGGGGAGGATTGGGAAGAAGAGGAGTCCAGTGACAACCCTCAGGAAGCCTGAACAGGATCATGTCGAAGATCATGGCAAAAACTGCTCTCTCACTCTGACTCGGAAGCGACACCACTTCATAATCCATCGTTCATAATAACCAACCAACTAGCTAGCAACACATTCATAATAACCAACCAACCAACGAGCTAGCTAGCAAAACGTTGAGACGAGCAGCTTCTATGCCCAGCCAGCGGCGCCATTGCCGCAGTCTCAGTGATCTCTTGCGGGTGCTCTTATAAGCCACCCACCGCAGCCAGAGCTGTTCTGAACTAAGACGGGGACAGTGGCTTCTAGCTAGACGCTACCTCTAGCTAGTTAGGGTTAGGGTTAGCTAGTGAGAGCAGAAGACCATGGTAAACGTTGATTCCTTTATTCACTAAGAAGATTTGTTGTTCTACGGTATTCTACTAGACGGTTCTTGAAGAAGAAGGTGTTGTACTTGGTACATCAATAGCGGCTTGCTCCAGCCCGATTGGAGCACACCCCGACGCTCCTGTCGCGTCTTGCCTGGTGGTCTTGTTCTTGTTCCACATCACGTGTGTGTTGTTTGTCATTGTGTTGTTTGTCATTGTCAGCCTACAGAATGAATGGATCGAATCAAAAGTAGCAGTGGCAGCTTTAGCCGGAGAACACGTTAATGCCACCCGATCTCCGATCCAATCCCGGCCTATCAGGGCCCACATTGAGGCCGCCTGATCTTCGATCCAAGCCCGGCCTAGCACTCATGTTCGCACTGCCAGTTACTCTTTCCAAGCCCGGTCTCTGCGTCTCCTCTTCAAAGCATTTTCGATCGGCGGTATCTTGTCGACTGGGGCGACAGGGTGGCCCACGAGCCTTGGCAGTCTTTTCGCTATTGTCGTTTTCACTGCCGCTGTTTCGACTGTCAACGCCGCTGCCCGTACGCTTGATGCGATGGAGACTCATCTTTCGTCCTGGCACCTGTAATTGACGGTCTCCGCCGTCGGCCTGGAAGCGTTCAAGGTTTTGCAAACGAGGAATACTGGAGTTGCGATTGGGGATCATCGGGCTGTAGTCACCACCGGGGGTGAAGTAACCCGATCCAAAGGAGAGAGTCGAAACGGTCGATGTGCTATCCAGGCGGCATGCTAGATCGCGAAGAGGAAGGGCTTTGAGGCTGCCGTTGTCTTCGGCTTGGTGTGTCATGGCTGTCATATCAATAGCTAGCTAGCTAGCTAATAGGGAAGGCGGGTTGTTGAGGGGTGGGATGGATTGGCGAGGAAAATGGGATGCTTTAGCGGAGCGATAGAGCACTTGATCGTAGAAGCTCCGTTTTGTGACGTGCTTTCTTTGTTTCGCGTTGCGATGCTTCAAGAGCCTTCAAACGAGGGTTTTCGTTCAAGGCAAGTGCAAAGTGCAAGGCAGCATCAAATAAATTTTGCGGTTCTCAAAGGTTCACCGACAAATCGACCCATCTTCAACCTGGGTACTGAAACTGGATAGCAATGCAAACCAGTCGGGCTTGCAGGTGATTTTTCTTGGTGAAGAAGATCAACCCTTTAATCTTCGGACCCCCCTTCTTCCAATCTACTCTTGGAAGATGTCGTGGACTTAAGGCCACGTAGTTATCTGCGATTTAACAACTCACCACCAAGGATCAACGGCAATCGCTGCGGGTTTGATAGAAGCAGGGGGAAGGCCTTTTAGATCTTCGTATCCGCGGTTGTAAAAATTTACATGTTTTAAAGCAAGCTGCTCAGTGACTCGCCATTTCTTATTGAAAATGACCACCTCAAGCATAATGACGAGAATGTCTGCTCTTCGGACAAGCTCAAACTTCAATTGATAATTCAATACTCCGGAGCAGTGCTCGAGAACTCCGAGTAAGAGCGATTACGCGACCATGCAGGAACATTCCTCTAAGAAAGAAATTGTATCGTGAAAACTGTCTGTCATTCTTAATAAGTAAGGGTCATACTCTTTTGGCATAAGAAGGCAAAAGACAATAAGAAATGTCACTGGTCGACCGTTGGAACTGGTAATTACTGGTGAACTGGAACTTGGTCAGATACTCCGAGTTCCGTGTGCCAACGGTTAAAACAGCTGTTAAAACCACAAAGAACTTCAGAAGTGACTGTTACACGTACGCCCATGTATCATTACTGTAGACTGCTCGTACCTCCCAGCTTCAGGCCACTGGCCATGGAGCGACCGACTTGACTCTCAGTCCCATTGCTGAAGACACTCCAGCAGAGCTATTAATCTATTAATAACACTTCCTACTAGTACAGCGTACTTGATGACACTTGATTGATTGATCACAATGATTACATGTAGTAGTAATTATTTTAGTACTTGTTGACACTCGCCACTGGAACTCTGGCCAGCCAGTTTGAAGTTCCAGTTCTTTGGCCAGGTCGCCATTGTTGCTTCCTTCTACTGCTACCTGGTGCAGGATACTTTTTGGATTGATGTGCTTCATCCCTGGGGTTTCTTTGGTGCTTCCTGGTGGCGAACACTTGAAGGCACGGCGCTTGCTTTTGAGTATTCGGCAGTACCTACAAGTAGGTATGGATTGGTGGCGTTCGGTACCGGATGTGCAGGAAAAGGTGCCCGTGCCCGGGGTTGCTGTAGTTGGACTTGCATGGCTGGCTGAGTTGAGGCTATGGAAAAACGCTGGTTTCAGAGTCTGGAAGATGCCTTTGCTGGACTTGCAAGCCAACAGCACAATACTCTTCTGGTCAACAAACCTGAAAGTCTACAATAGTCTCTGACAGAATGCATGGGCGGAATTCTACATTCTTCGCTAACTTTCATGCGGTTCTGGATACGTGTATTGTTCACGGACAGGATTTCTAGCTTATTGTAGCCGCCAGCCCGCCAGCCTGTACAAGGCGTCTGTGCCCTTCAAGTGTTTGTTGTTGATGGTGCTTGCCGTACAGCAGCTACGATGCTGCACCGTGATTACTTGTGATGCCACTTGTTTCTGGATGGGATCTTATCAAAAAATGCTGCCTAAAACAAAGTCTCTGGCACGATCGAGACAACCAAAAAAAGAGGCCAAGAAACCGCAGGAAGCTTGCACATTGCATTCGTCATTGTTGATTTGCTCTTGAATCCAATCATGGTACTTGGCAACACCGGCATATACATCCTGGAAGGGTGGAAACATGGACAGACCGATTGTTGAGTGTTTGTGTCCCATACTTCAAATCCACTCTCCTCCTTACGCACCTCGCTGGGTCTGGCACATCCAATCCCATAGCTTACAATACCAATTTGTGTTTCAGTCGCATCAAAGAGCGGGCCTCCGCTGTCGCCTAGTAGTGCACATGCAAGCAGCTCGTTGTTAAAGGCACAGAATAGAAAGCAGAGAAAGGAGCATCATGATGACAGTACCTTGACAGTCGCCTTCATTATCAACATTTCCACAAACATGAGTTCCAAATTCGACATTCCCATAGTTGCCCTGGCAAGATTCTATTGTTTGAAAATAGGTTCCAAGCTTCTTCAGTACATTGGAAGTGGATCCACCTTCTTTCGTTGCCCCAAACCCAACTACTTGAAGTGGCGAACCGCTCGTGGAAGGATAATTTAGATTGCTGTTCAGTTTTATTGGGGTAGCACTCGACGAAGTTGACAGCTTTAGTACAGCAACATCATTGAACAGATCCTGCTCATTAGAGAAATAATCATATTGGAATGTAGACTTGTGAGTCAGCGTGGTTTTTGTTAGACAGACAATCCAGATGTACCTACCCCACTAGCTCCAACTCTGTAATCAGGATGATACATTCCACAAGTGACGGCAATGTTTTCGCCATTGCTGAGGGTTGTGGGCCCAATCCTCACATTGGTAGGGGCACCTCGTTGGATGCAATGAGCCGCAGTCAAAACTCGATCGGGCGCTATCAGCGTTCCTCCACATTGAACCAATGGGACGAACGCCGCAAACCATGGAAATTCACTGTCTTCTGCTTTTGAGCCTCCAACAATGCCCTGCCCTTCGCCAACTAGATCATTATCATCTTGGTCATCATTGCTTCGAAAGAATCCTCGACTCGACGCTTCGGGCAAAGCTACCAGCAGAAACACAAGGAGTAGCAGGATTGAAGGAGCAGTTCGACCCATGGCTTGTCTTGGCAAGTTCCAGTGTCTGATGACTTTGTGTGGATCGTACCAGTACGATGTAGAGGGAACTTGTTGTCCGTTGTTGAAAGTGATGAAAAACCTGGGAACACCCAAATTCCAGATCCAACGGCCCGAGATGACCGTTGTTTTGTGGGCATCTGCCAGTCGTCCCACTCGCGGGGAATTTTTCCGCGTGCTGGCTTTCAAGCCTGGCTTGAAGAAATTTGGAAGCTCACTTTTCAACGGGACTGCCACCGGATTTGCCCATGAAGTTCCCAATGCTCGAGCACACATCAAGATGACGACTTACAGCCTGGAGTCCCATGGCAGTACCTCCACCACGAGCTGCACGTCCTATGAAAGCAGCGGAATCATTGCCCACATTGGAGATATCGACGAAGGGATCATTCTGTCCAATTGCCAGGTACGTGTAGACGGTAGGCATGACATCATATCCCCGCGTCTTTGGACGACACTCACGCATGTTGCACTTGTGTTGTTCTTGTACGGTAGCCTGAAAACAGTGCAGAAGTAGATATTCCTTCCATCATCTTGGAAGACTTGGAAGAAGCGCCTTCAGATGAAGAAAGAGACAACGACGACGATGATGACGATGCCTCTGCTTCCTCCTCGGCATCCGCAGATGCCATTAGTTTCGACAGTGCCATGGAACGAATTCGTAATGAGGTGTGGCAGAAAGTTCGGGACGCCAAGAAAAATGTACGTTGATGCAGAATGGCAAATTAGCACTGGCTGCCACGGGTTAGGACACACTCGCTGACTCGCTCTTTGTGATCTACACCGCCTCCTCTCACGACACCAGAGAAGGGAAAAGACAAGTAGTACAGGTAGGACAAGTGTGAGAGATGATTCTGTCTTTGATGACAGTTCAATATCTTCAGGAACTCCAGACAGAAGCGCCGGTCCAGGCCGCATCCAACGAAACGAAATCGTTGTGGTAACTGATGACCAAATTGACTTTCGTTCTCCACCGTCACGACCGATCCTAAACTCTTTTGAACGACAACCTCTGTTGGATGAAGACATGAGAACTGCAGGCAACTTCCAGTACCATTTTACACATGACGATGATATCGAACAGTATCGCGACCTCGTCGTTGATGACTACATCCAAAGTTTCAGTTCCGAGGACATGACGACGTCATCCGAAGCAGATAGAGTTGGCACTGGCCTTCATCAATTGCAGAATGAGGAAATCGATTCCGTTTTTGAGTCAATTCTGGCCCTCGATTTAGAAGTGGAAAAGCCTGAAGAGGTGCGTACCGGTTCGGAAGCTAGTGGTTGATTATTGCTGCTCCAAATGGTTTTGCTAACCATCATCGGCCATGCATGATTCTGAAGCCCACGAGCTCCTTGAGTTCACAGTCGCCAGTTACCAAGGCCAGTGGACTCTATGCCACACTCGATTCAAAGTCTTCAGAGCCAATGCTTAGAGTCAAAGTCTTTGGGTCACTGGAGAATACACTGCTTTGTCTGCCCATCTCTATGGTCGAGAAACGTGAAAACGAAATGTTTGGCCGGGCATACAAAGTTGGACTCCGGGTTGACCAGTGGAATGGATCCTTGCTAACTAGGCTACTCAAGGGCTACTATCCGTGGTATCGAGACAACATCAAACAAAGCCTGTATACACTACAACTGTACCCCGAAAGCGACTGTGCCGAGGCAAACTACAGCCAGGACTTTCGGTGGCAATCATGGATCAACCAATGCATAGAATCCTTCTACAAAACAGGGAAATTGAGAGTCCCTGATTTCTGTACTGGATCGGATGTCTTGACAGCGCTTCAGTATTTTGGCATTCTCTACGACCCGGACCAGCTTGTTTTTGACTCCTTCAGCACTTTCATGCGCGTAAAGTTGTGGAGTGAATACTTCACTCATCGCGACACCATTGCCGCATGGATTACGAAGCAACTCAACGAACCTAGTACTGAGCATCAACACCACAGTACAAGAATATTCTCTACCTGCCCACATTTGTTAGAGCCGGGGTGTGTCATCACCATTGGGAAACAACAATCTGAGGTATTCGACGGCGGCATTACCATGGTGGACTCCATGAAGGACGAGACGGTATCTCAGAGCTGCATGTTCGTGTACAGATTCTTCAACGACAGTGACGACGAAAACGGAGAACCGGCAAACATCGATTTTCTGGTGCGTGAGGACTTTCGCGAATACTTCCGAAAGGTTGTCTACGGAGTCAATTCCAGTTTCCCAAAGAAGCTAACGACAATTCACCATCCTGATGGGACTTGCGAAGAACTGGAATTGGCCACGCTGTTCATCCAGTTGGAAGACCCAGCCTATTTGAATCGGGACCGTATTATTACCTCCGCAGTTCAGGAGGAATATCTGGAGAATGCCTTCGACGAAGCGACTGACCCAGAGAACGAATTGCCAAGTTGTCATGCTATCGAAACTCAGTTACTCTCCCGATGCCAGTCACTATCAGAGGAAGTCAAGTTGAAGTACCGCGCTCTGGAAACGGGGTCTATTCCATGCCAGCTATCAGCCGGCAACAATGCAGGGGGGGCAGGACAACCTGATCCCAAGCGCCAGTCCAAGTGCCCGACCAAGTCCGACTGTCGTGCTGTAGTAGATGCTCCTGTTGAGGCACAATGCAAAGTCCCTTCCAACGTCGATGCCGAATATGAAGAGCTCGAGGCCCGAGTGGTTGCCAGATTCAAAGACGGCGTTCTGGCCGACGTCATTAAACCTGACTGTCGTGAGATTTGCGCCGAGGCAATCTCATCGCTGAACTCTCTAGCACGAAATAGCACAAGCAGAGCAAAAGTCGGGCAAGTTTCACAGAAATCTGTGGACTCAAGACCACTGGAGACGACACCCACTGAACCAGAACTGCGAAATGAACTGAAAGCACAAGGAACACAAGACAAGACAAGTACCGAGAGAGACGTAGCAACAGCAGCGACCCCAGGCGGACAAGAGAAATCGAAAACAACACTTTGCACAGAAAATGCTATCACAGGAGAACCAGGCCAAGCGAACGCAAAACTTAGCGCGGACACTGTCATTAGGGCGGAAGAGAGCCAAAGAGCGAAAGAAATTGCAAGCACATCATCAAGCTTGGAGCTTGATGTTGGAACAGCAATACGCGCAAGAACACCAGATAAACAAAGCACACCATCGAGCGTGGAGCATGATGTTCAACTTGGCGAAGCAATGCACGCAAGCGCATCTGACAAGGAAACCACACCATCCAAAGAGGATCCTGACCTTGTATCAGACGTGGAGCCAACATCATCTGACAGGCCAAACACATCAGCAGCCGACAGGGAGAAGGATAGAGGCGAAGGCAAGTCATGGCAGCCAAACGAACAATCCACATCCATAGGAAATTCGCATGCTAGCGAATCAATTCAAGACACCAGATTCCCTGGAGATTTGTGGATGGCATGGAGACCCGATATAAACCCTGACTGTATCTTATCAAGCTCGTCCTTCCTCAAGATCACGACAGCGACAGACCACTGGACATCGTGGAATCAAATGGATCCCGAACCTTCTGTAGAGTCCGACCTTACCAACAGCATACAACACATCGAGCCATTTGATTCAATATTAGGTTGTTCCGTAGAAACTACTGGGATGCGGCAACAACACGTCCCCATGCTGTTCGACCACGTATACGAGGATCTAATGCTACAAGACACACACTTCAACGGCAGTTGGGAAAAGAAGCCCGTACCTGAAAATATCCACATCACTACAGCTCTATCCCGCGAGCCCCACAATGTGGCTGCTACGAAAACGAGTGGTCACCGCAGGGTCAGGTTTCACCCGGACAACAGGATCTTTTCCTATAAACCGAACGACTTTGTGTGCGACATTTTCGAGCTGTTTGATCCCTCGGATGGCGGCGTGCTGGGCAAGGATGATGACGGTGTCCATAGCCTGGAGTTCGACCAACAGCATCGGTCCCATCAGATACCCAATCGTCATTTGAATCAGACCATTCCTTTCTCCAGAGAACAGGACCCCATTTTTGTGGAAACGGTCTACTCGACGGATGCTAGCACTGCTCTGTCCAGCAATCTGATGGGCTCTGCAACAAAGATACCAGGAAATATCCTCCCTACTTGCAATTTGGGGATCCCAGGAATCGACTTCCCAGATGACGAAAGGTGCTAGCTAGCCAATCCGCAAGCAGTGGAAGCTCCCTCTCAACTCAAATTGCTTATAATTGATTCAGCTGGAGCTACCCCAAGGGATAATCTGACTATCTACTACTGTAGTGGTTTGCGAAAGAATTCACCGCCTTGGCAAATACGAGCTTACTCCCGGGGGCTAGCTGGAAAGCTGCCTTTTTGTGCCCTGCAGCTGGTAAATCCTGCTGCTTCTCGTGCCTACCAGGACCTCTACGGTATGGTTTCGGAGATGAACTACCAGTACATGTCTGTGCTGGAAGCTTCCTTGCAACTCACGAAGTGGGGGCCTCCTCTCTGACCTAGCAGCGACCTACACCGCACGAGTAAATGGACGGTTGCAGCGGACTTCCGTTTGTAACTCCATACCGTACCGTGCCGACCACCAACACTCCACAAACAACATGTGTGTTTCATTGTACAATAGCCGGGCAGTTGCCAATCGGGTGGGTGTTGACTGGGAGGAGATCCCGCGGGAAGCTAGAACCCGAGGTTGGATTTTGGTTTTGTGAAGGGTTTGAGTCGGGGGAGCCAGGCATTCCCGTCAGAACCTTCGATGAGATTCGAATTCGGAAGTGACAACGGCTATTTTGGCCGGTACCGTACAATCCAAAATGTGACCGTCACCTCTTCTCGCGTTGCCAAGTTTGTAGCACCATGATGAATAATGACTGCTCGGCTTCCTGCTCCGAGATAAAGGTGGGTGATGCTGGTTCTGGTTCTACCCGGAAGAGTTTCAAATGCATGCATGGGTGGAGCACATACATGTAGAGAAGATGTTAGAGGAGATATTCAATAGAGAGGTAGAACAAAGAAAGAGACAAAAGAGTTCTTCCTGATCGCTTTAGCAAGATGTTAACAGCTGCGTTGCTGGTGAGCGTGGTTCGCCGAAGCCTTCCACATCAGGAGGATGATGAATCGTTGGACATGACAGAGGTTGGTCAAAGAGAGAAAGGAGAGCGATTCTTGCAGGATCTCTCGTTTCACAACGGTGCATACCGATGTGGTACCCCGGAACCTCCAAAGGCAGATAACGACGATAATTTGCTGGATACCCACGGTGACTGTGACACCGCTTCCCAGCCATGTCATGCTCAGATCACCATGGAAGACGACGAGACCGCCACGGCCACTGCAATCCAAGCCCAAGTGCGAAGATATCTTGCCCAAAGCCAGTATAGAATCCACAAGCTGGAACGGCAGCTTGTACAGATACAAGAGGACAAGGAGGCAGATTTGATTTGGACGGAGCAGTGGAAGCAACGAAAGCTGCGCAAGGCCCAGCGAAAGTATGACAGAAGAGAAGAAAGACTGGAACGAGAATATCAAAAAGTCAAGGGTATTGTCCAATATCTTCAGAGAGATCAGAGCTTGTGTCAAAAAGAAGTGGGCAGCTTGCAAAAGAGCAACCAAGAGCTCCAAAAGCAAAATCAACACTTGTTGCTGGCCCACAACCGCACCACCATGTCAATAGAGAGGAAGAAACATCAATTGGGAGTGCTGGAGGATTCACAACATCGACTGCAAGTCACGGTGCAAGTATATAGAGAAATGATCCGGCAACTAGAAGAGGAAACTCGAATACAGGTGGACCATGTGACTATGAAACAACAACCAAAGACACGCCACAAGCAAGGGTTGCACTACCCGCGTCGTGATGCAACAATCACCAAACACAGGACCAAACACAGAGCAAAGACCTATTCAAGCATTGTAGTGAACTCGGTGAATGAGGTCGAGGAGCAATGCTTCCACCACCGACTAGTGCAGGATGTCTACACCGTGACACCAACCACCAGAAGAACCAGAGGTAGACGTAACTGAGAATGATAATAGAGAAAGCATAGAGTGTACAAAATAATAGCAAACTATACGTAATAGTTACATGTAGTACTAACTGGGACACTAACCCGTTCGCTTCGTGCTCGGAAAGTTGATGTATGGTGTCGGGACAGTCGTGGGACTCTTGACTGCTTTGCAACTTTCTGAGAACAACAACGGCACATGTGCCAGAGCTGGCTTTGCGATCCTAGCTAGCCTGTGTCATTGACACCCCGACACAGCTAATAAGATTAGTAGTACTCGCTTGATTACCCAGCTTTGGTAGTTCTGTAGTAGCTAGCTAGTAGTGCTGGTACCGGTACTCGAGTAGCTGGCTATTAGCTCATTGACTACCTAGTAGTAGGTAAGTCTAGCTAGTAGTAGCAGGATAACGTAGCTGTAGCAGGAATGTGGCATCACAAGCAACAACCACTCTCGCCTTGACGATGATGAGAGGCAACAGTAGTCAGTAAGAAAGTAGCATACCCAGGAGAACCCCCCAAACAACTCCCTTCTTCCAGTGGTAAAAATGGAAGAAGTAGTCTTCTGATGTCGGAAAAATTAAAACATCCGACATCGGACGCGGCGACCCGACTGTTCCAGTGAGGTTCCCAACAAGGAGCGCTTGTTACGAGAGAGATCTCTTCCACAGTCCAACAAAGCAGGCATCTCTGGCAGTACCGAAGTGAGGTTTGGATGATAAGCGGCATAGTAGTCCTTATGTGCTTGTGCCAGTGCCAACTTTCGAGACCAGATGGAATGCTGTTGTGCAATCCTTGCCAGATCTTCAGGAGTCGAGTCATCTTCTTGGGCTTTCAGGATTCTCTTGACAATCATCTGCTTGCGGTCTTGACGATGAAGAGAAGTACGGAGCTCCAGGCCTCGGGTTTCTTCCTTGGCACAAGACTGAGGATCTTCTCGCATTCGCTTACCGAGGTTGGCGGCCTGTCGCCGGAATTCCTTGATATCATCACGGTTGTACCAGAGCTCGTGGCGTTCGGCGCTAGTCTTGGCATGAGAGCAACTGGTAGAGACGAAATGGACTTGATTGGAGTCTTGTTGGAAGCTTACACGAGGTTCGTCGTCATCATCGTAGTAGTGGCGGCGTGCCGTGCGTGGATGGTGTTTGGGTGGAGCCGATTCATAGGCCACCTTTTCGCGAGAAGGAAGGCACATGGTGATGGACTTGCTGGTCTTAGCGAAAGCAAGAGACAAGAGAGAGTCTGCTGTATCCGTCAGCTGTCTGGATGGAGGAGAAATCTGGCAAAGTGCCTCGGCCAAGTGAATTTGCGTGTCAATGATGGAAAATGAGAGGAAGAGAGTCTTGATAATCCGAGGACTCAGCTGTGAGTAGAGATAGATGGAGAGATGCCCGTCAAAGAGTGAGTGAGGGTTCTCTGGTCTGATGTGTGAGAGAGTGAGTGGTAAGGTCTGTTGATATCTGTTGCTGTGGTTAACCAGCTTTTGATTGTGAATGAATGAATGGCTTTTACTGAGAAGCTGCCAAACGATTTTTTGCTTGCTTGCACGTTCGTGAACTGAAGTAGCTTCCTACTTGGCTCTCTTTTGGTTAGGGAAAGCTGTGAAGTGACACTGCTTATCGCAGTCAGTAATCGATTGCAATTGGCCTTCCTGGAGCCAGCACTACTGGCGCGGTATTCTCGAGGAAAGAGAACCACTATTTACCGACTAACTAATCCTAACCCTGAATTCATTCAATCATGGAAGATGGAGCTCTTTTGCTACTTGCTCGCCTGGCTTTCCTGTAAACTCTTACATCATGATACTAAACCAGTGGAGTCCGTGTACTGGTACAATCAGAGGTTTCTGTGATTGCGTCACAAGGGCAAGATTGTCATGTGGTGCAACGTGGTCTTGCTTTCCTTGAAGACTGGTTTAGAAGGGTAGTTGCGGTAAATATAGGGTTAAAGTTACGTTTTACTTCACATTGTTTAATGAAAACTGAAAACTATAATTTACCGCAACTATCTGAACTCCAAAGTTGTCTTCAAGAGTCTTTGGTGGGAGTGTGGAGTGGACTGGAAGACTGGAACACTGGGACGTTCGAACAGGGGCGTCCTTCTTAGAAGTTTGTGGGACAAGTTCTTGTGAACTGGCTGATCTGCTTACCGAAAAGTGACATTTTGTTGCCCTATACAGTAAGTGTTTAGTGTTGTACACAATTGACCTACAGTAAACGAGTCTTGTAACATAGAGACATATTAGAATTAAGCTTCTCTTGAAGGCCTAAATGGAAATGGTTGCCAGCAGCTGCACCAAGAAATGACTCTTTTCCAGTCACTTTTTGAAAGAAATTCTGACTTCTCAGGCTTCCACCCATGCACCCATGACTTGATGGTTGATTGCCATTTTCCATTTCGGGAGTGGACCTGTTGGCACTTTGCTCCCACCAATGCAAAGCAAATCGTGGTTTCCAACATGTTACACCTGGCCAGATAGACAGAGATTCTTTATATTTTCTGAAGCAAGGACGGCTAGTTTGTTTGAGTGGGGAAGGACTGGTCATGGGCAATGGCACCTTCTTCAAGTCATGCATGTTTGCGGGGATACTATCCACCGTATATGTTGACGATGCATGTGATGCTCATTATCCGGCCGGGGAGACGATGGTTGCCATAACGATGTGTTCAGTTCCTTTCGTATTGGATTGACTGGGCTTCTTGCGTTGAATGTATCCGTGTTGTTGGACTGCAAAAACTAGCCTGATGAGCACACCACCTTGTTGCAGCCTCGAGGGCTCGAGGGTATCGGTACGGTAGCATGGTTGTTCGAAACGCAACAACCTGGCTACAGTACCGATACCATGGTACGATGTACCGACACAGTTGGTGGTAAAGCGGCACCACGCAAGAAACCAGCATGGGATGCGGCAATTGAAAAAGGTTCGCTTCTTAGAGTTAGAGATAAATGATGTCCCAGCGAAAACTGGATCTTTCGCGGAACCTTTGTTCCGTGATGTCAGGCAGGTTGATACCGGTAGAGGCAACTACTAATGGCCAACATCTCCACATTTGCACCGCCTGTAGCCAACTTTGTCAGCAAATCACTTTGGGGAAGACAAATATCGGCAACCTGACTGCCTAGCTAGTTCATCAAAGATCCCTCTGTGTTTCGTTGCCTACATTTGTCAGAGTACAATCTGGAAGGAGGATCCAATCAATCATCAAATCCGGGTGGTGGGTGGTTATAGTGCAGGCTTTTCGTGAAGACTGTTTATAGTAGTGGCTGTGCGTCCAATCCCATCCTGTTCGCTTTTCAATCATCACAAAGCATTGATCATGGTGAAGAGTCGCAAGACTACCCTCAACAAGGCCCGTCCATTGCCAGACCGATACACACTCAAGGCCACCAATACTGCCCATGGTGCCAAAGTGAGTAGGAGGTTTACCACCGTCAAGACCACCGACCAGGATGCTGCAGCCATTGCGAACCAGCTAGAGAATGCTACCGAATCGCCACCCTCGCAACATGGCAGTACAGGCTTTGTCAGCAAGCGCATCATCTTTCCACACTTGACGCGTCTGCAGTATGGAATCTTGCGCTATCGGGATATTTCCGAAAGTCCCACCTCTGTCATCACCAGTATCTTTCCAGGAACTCAACAGGACCGAAGATTCGTCTTTGTACCGGCTGGATACTCCAATAGTGATAAGTGTCTTCAAGAAATCCTAATGGCGCTGCAGCTCAACAAGGGCCTACCACCCTTGGTGATTGTCACGGCGGCCACGGAGGGAGCTGTGGAAGAAACTGTGGATGAGGATGCTGAAGCCGGCACTGGCCCTGATGATGGAACCAATCAAAAGACCAAGCAGGTACTGTTGGGCAATCCCATCAGCGATGATCTAGATCTGTCTGAGGAAGAAGAACGAGAGCTATTGAGAGAAAAGACACAAGAGATACTACGTTCTACGGTAGAACTCTGTGGGGAAACTGGTGCTTGGCTCTTGCCTCATCGTCCTCGCCGCGTCAATGGTGCCGCAGAAGTGCTTTGTAGCACCATCTCCTCCACGTCATCCGGCGAGGATCAGCCTGTTCTTGGCAAGAATCCTACCGTGATCTTGGGGATGATTGGACTAGATCACAATGACGAAGAGAATGGATTTGCCCAGCTTATTCAAACCAACATGGTTCCCTTTGGAACAGAAGTCGAGCAAGTGGCGATTGTCAACTACGACCGGAACGTTCGCGACAATCTGCCCTGCCCGGAGTTGACGCACCTCTTGCTCTTTGAGAGACGACAAGAAATGAGAGACTTTCGAGAGCGACTCTTGTCCCAAACACCTGATGTCTTCATGGCGTTTGGCAGCACCACCCCCTATGCCAAGAAGTGTCTGTTTGCTACCTTGGTGGATGAATCACCTGTTGCTCTCATCACCCATACCAGTTCTGAAATTGATCACATGTCGTGGATGCTTCGGCATGCCGACTCGGAACTCAGAAAGATTGACGTGGGAGCAAAGGAACCACCCGAGAAGGGAACGGCAACCTTTGCTGTCTCGAGCGATCCCACGGAGTACGAAACTCTTCCATTGCAACCATTTGCAGATCTAGCAAATGTGGACCGGGAGCTTGCCGAGTATCTACCCGTTTGGCCGGCAGCTCATAGGGATGAACGTGTGGTCCTGGCAGATCCAAGGCGAGTTGGTGGGCTTCGCTTTCAGCGCCAACTGCTGCGGGCGGTCAACGCCGCTTTTTACGTTCCCGAAGCTCGCGCCGTGGCATTAAGGGAGTCGTCAGAACTATTGGTTTCCATCCAAGAGGCTGCGTGCCACCAAAACAGGGTGACCGAGATTTATCACCTGGCAATGGTCCTGGCAACGCTGGCTGCAATTGTAGCGTCCGTCATGTATGCCAAGATATTCGGAGAGGACCCTGCGCCCAGTTGGGACAACCGAAACCCACGCCAGATTGCGTTGTTCCTTGTCACCCTGGCAGTTCCTTTCAGCATTGCTTACTTGAAAAGACTGTACGATGGCAGCTCGCAACAATGGTCCGATGTTCAAAGGTCATCGGCTGAGTTGGAGTCAACCATTTTCGAGTTTCGTGCCAGACCACGGACCTTTGGGCAAACCACGGGACAGGCCGGTGGTCAAGAACCATTGGATGCCTTTATTGGTCGCGTACTAGACATTCAAAGCCGCGCATCGCAGTTTTTGGCACCAGAGGATGGTGGGAAGACCAGTAAGGAACCAGGCGACTGCGCCGCCGAATCTCCAGTGAGTGAGACAGTTCTGGACTCTGCCGACCAGGACATTGAAGCGCCCCCACCAACGGAGTCGTCTCCCCTGCTTCCAGCTGCCCCGTCGCCGTCATTGGAAGATCTGGCACTCAATGGATCCACCAACAAGTGGACGAAGAAGCCTCATTACAAAGATGATACTGTCGTGGAAACATACGAAGACGAGTTTCAAGAAACACCTGGGGCAAGCAATGGAACACAGAATGACTGTGCCACTCTCTTGACAATCATAGATTACATTGACTGTCGAGTCCTCGCTGCTCGGCAGCAAAAGAGAGACGAGTTGGACAAATTGGAGAAACGAAACAAGATAATCGAAGTGATCATCAAGCTGGTTCTTGGCAGCACCAGCTTATTGGCATTGCTGTCGGAACAGTGGTTCATTCCCATAGTCCTGGGTGTCAGCACTGCCTTTTTTGCCAGCCAAGACTTCCGAAAATATAGGTCTCGCATGGACCAAGGTCAAGCGATGATCCGAAAGCTAGATGAGCTGCTCTCGTGGTGGGATGCCTTGGATGTCGAGGACAAGATCCTCCCAATCAACGAAGATCGCCTTGTGGAGTCAGCCGAAAGCATTCTTGTTGCTGAAGTTGCCTACACATACTAGCCAGCTGACAACATCAGCGTCAGCTAAGAGTAAATAAATGAATTGATATCATGAACTTGTTTGTAGAAGTTAAGGAATTGAATCACTACATCCAGTAATGTTGACGCAGATGTAGAAGATGATGAATGATCCAATCTCTGAAATAAAACAGACATAAAAAAAATGCAGATCCACCTACCCCACCTTCCCAGTCACAAACACTGTTGAATGCCTTTTAGATGGATTCACGATGACGAAACAAACCTTGCTCTTACTCCATCGCATTGACTCGAGACTACGCCATGTCCATTTCCGACCGCACATCTCCTCAGCCAGCAGACGCTAAAGTCCGAGCAACATCAAAGACGGCTAACAACTAGCTTTGACGAAGCAAAATCATACAATCTTGTTGGTTAGTAGTTAACAAATCTGCGTAGGTGAAAGTTCTAAGAATTGCGTGATGGATTGGTTTGTCGTGGCATGCGCCCTGTAGTAGACATTCATCATCGAAATCGGTGGCTTTGCCTACCAGAGGCTGCATTGTTGTACATGTAGCTCCAAAGAACACAGAACAAAACTTCCTTCACCGGTGCATTCACGAAAGCACAGCCGAATGCATCAGAGGGAGTTTCTTTGTTGTGGTCGCAGCTTAGAATGGAGATGGGCAGGAGCTGTCTCCGTTGGCAATGGCTTGACCGCATCTTCTTGGCCAAGTCACAAAGTTCTCAAAGAACTGGCTGCAGTCTCGGAAGCAGGGGCAACAATACTCAAAAGGTTGGAGTATAATCCAGAAACCAGCACAGAACATAGCGATTGGCCAGGCAAGGACGAACAGCATGATCAGCCAAATCAAAGAGAAAAAGATTCCTGTAATGTGGCTCATGGTTTGATTGTCTTTTTCAAGGGAATACAAAGAGGAACTGCTGCCTTTTGAGTGCAGCGATTGTATTTTTGTGGGATCTAAAGCTAGCTACCTGAAGAAAAAAATGCAAAAGATCCAGTCTAAACTCGGAACACCGATTTGTACTGGGATCTTCCGTGAATTACAGTGCCGCATTTTGAAACACCCCCAACGGCTACCCAGCGATGCAAAACTGATCAACCCCATGCCACAGGCTGTTCTCTGTTATTAGCCGCTCTCCGTTGAGCAGCTTCACGCTGCATCTCCAACAATTGCTTAGAAGAAAGAGAGTGCAAGTGGAAACAGAGCTGCCCACTGCGTGCTCCTTTCCGGAACACGTCCATTCAAAAATCTTTTGTGGGATTGTGACGAACCGATAGATTTAGCTAGCTACCGGTACCTGGTACCGGTATGGTTTGAAATACATGTACACTGTATCGGTAGTTGTCTCTAGGATTTCTATCATGTATGAGTAGCTGGATTTAAATTTTTGAAATGGGTACACTGTAACCCTGGTTTCCTTCATGCCACCCTTCATCGAAATCATGCATCGGCCATGGGGGTGACTTGCAGAAGAGACAGTTGATTGCTCGCTCAACTTGGCTGGGTTTGGTTGCCCTCATTGGAAGCATTTGTCAAGTTGACTCCCATATTTTTGCAAATGACGTACAGGACCACACCCAAAACGATGCCATATTCAACACCCACAATCAGAATTAGCACAAATGTTGCCAGGCACAAAATGTACTCTGCATGCCCCATTTTCTTCCTCGAATCGATGAGCCATTCAAAGACCAGGTCCACACAGATCAAGGACAGAAGAGACCCGAAAAAGAAGTTGGGAACATAGGCCAATATAGAAAAGGGTGCCACGAGGAATAGTATCTCACACCCGGCCAAAACAAATCCAGCCACACGAGACCGAATCCCTGCTCGCAGTGAGAAAATGCTTTGACTGAAGATGTAACTTCCAGTGTATCCTCCCGTCATTCCCGAAATGAAATTGCTAAAGCCAATCATTGTCAGTTCGCTATTGTAGTCCAGGGGCTGCTTGAGTTCCAGTTCAATGGCTGCAATATCCAGAGAGCTCGACAGTGCCACCACAAAGATCATGCCAATTTCGGTTAGGATCAACTGAGGGAAAGTAGACCACAAGACCTTGTCCAATTTCAAGTAGTCCCAGGAATGGTACCACACAGGAGGCGGCTCCGTCTTGGCAATCCACCCCTCATCTGTGGCTTGTTCCACGGACAAGCCACTCAGCCACAAGACCAAGTAGAACAAGCAAAATAAAAAGATAATGCAAGTTGGTAGGACAGCCATGTGTCTCAAAGTTCTCACAAGGATATAAATGAAAAGACCACCCAACATGCCCGGAGCAATGTATATGAATTCTTGCGAAAACACTTCCCAAGTTACCTGGGAGGTTCCTGCCATGATCCCTACCCCCGACATGCCACAAAAGTATCCAATGTAGGCAAGATAACCTCCCACCACACAGGTTGGCAGCAACTGTACCCATTGTGCCAATTTGACTTTTCCAATGACCACCAAAGCCAACCCCAGCAGTGCTGTAGCTAGCGATAACCCGACCGTTGTCGTGGCCAACAGTGTTTCATCGTCGGCACCTCTTTGGCGACAGCTTTGTACCAACATTCCCGCCATGCTGGACAGAAAAATCAAACCGGCATCTTGGACTTGACCCACAGCAAAGGGGAGGGTCGATAATGCAGAGAAACATATTTGATGCACGACCCCAGACACAACGGTCAATTTGATTAAGACATTCAAGTAGGGTCGAAAGGCTTCGTCTCGGTATATAATGGACCCAAAAGACATTAAAACAGGCAAAACGATTGTTGCATTGATAACACTTGGAGATTGCAGGAAAAAGGGACATGTGAGCGGGATACCACCAATATGATGGCGTCATGATGGGGGCGACACAGAATTTCCTGCACTTACCCGTAGAGAACGCAAAGAGAAAACGAAGTGGTCTCGTGCGGGCTGCTCCCGCTTCTTCTTCGACCGACCAATGGAGTAGTTTCCTGGGGTCTTTGGGGCAAGTTCTCTATCAGATCTGGAATTTGTAGTTCCATACGCTCTGGATCGACATCTGACGCATCTCCCACCGACAAGGATCGTTGTCGAACGGTTTTTATGGCATGATTTCTCGCAGGACTAGGGGAATGAAAGCAGGTGAGCATTGGCGACGTTGCTACATCCCACGCCGAGACATCATCGTCTTCATTTTCATCCACTTCTTCGACATGCTCTTCTGGAGCCATTGTTCAGTTAGTTTTTGGGTAGCTTCCACTCTGATACAGCTAATAGATCTTGCTCGTATTAGCATTCTTTTTGTTGGTATCGTTTTCGGGTGTTAGCTAGCTGATGGCCAAAAGGGTTCCTAATAACCTTCATTTCTTGGCGTCAGAACATTTTGTGGCTGTCCATGGTGCCTTGGCGCCTTCTTTCGCAGCCACAAGCGGCTGTGCTGACTGGATCGCGGAGTACCGTACCGTACTTGGCTTAGGGTTGAAGGTATTTTGCCAACGCATCTGTCCCAAACAAACCGAACCATGTTGGTGTGGCGCGGCGGTGGTTGCGTGTTTGCTCTGCCTGTGTTGGAACAGCTGTTGGAACCGTTTGCATGATTCGATTCGATTCATCATTCCTGTCCTGAACCATGGCTACGGTAGCTGCTACGGTATGTTTGCAGGCGCAAGGAGTACCATGGTACTAGTACCCGTACGGTGTCTTTTGGTGTTAAAAAAGAATGGCTGAGTTCGATCTGTCGGGGGCTGTTTGCAAAGGCGCGGTTTGACGGCTGATGTTGCTGGAGCAGTTTCTACACCGCCTAAGATACTTTCTCTTGTGTACCATTCAGCAATGAACCATCCTTTTGCTGTTGCATTTTGTTGGCCAATCTGGAAAGCTACCGGCCGCGGTATTGATGGCTTTGGTACGGTCCGGAACCGGAAGCGAGCCGCGGGGATGCATTTTCCAACGTCCATCGTCAAACATCTCAAACAGCTTTCTGCTGCTTTAAAATAATGAGCCCACAAGGCTGTCGATTGCCGACAGGCTGAGTGCCTAGTTTTACTTAAGGGGCCCATGAAAGCTCTCGCTCCACTCGCGTGAGTGTTGTTCAGACATTCTCGTCTCTTCACTCGTTTTGCAAAGAAAGAAGACGCCAAGCCAGTTGCTCGACCAGCTAATTGTTACTCGACACATTACCACTAACAAACACCTGGTGATTGCTAATACCATACTACGTCCTCTCCTTGGCTTGGCCGCATACCAGAACATACTGTCTGTTGCATCCCTACTCTGATATTGTCTTTTGGTCAGCCAGGTTTCTGTCTCTGGCTCATCCCACAAACTTATTGCTGTTGGCGTTTTTGAGGTTCCCAACTCACCCCTCACGCCGATAAAAATCAACCAACGAACACCCGAAAAGAAACGCTGGTTGTTCCTCTTTCTTGGATAAGTAGCATTACTTCTCTTCTTGTTCATTTCCAAGTCAAGTACACCATGTGTCTTCCTCCCCGTGGTGACGAAGAAGCCTATGATTCCTCCAAACGGCTTGCCCCTCGTCGCCGCCTGTTGCATCAACTGCCAGCAATCGTTGATGATGATGACGATACTCCCACTGTAACCTTTGAAGAGGCTCTCGAGCAAGTCTTTCTGGTACCCACCACTCTCTCCTCCATTGACAGTATCGAAGAACGGAATCAGCTCTGGTACAATCGAGAAGACATTAAGGAGTTCCGCCGACAGGCGGCGTCCATCAGTCAGCAACTTCGCGATGGATTGTCCATTACCGAGTACACCCGAGGCCTGGAGCTCCGTACTTCTCTTCATCGTCAAGACCGCAAGCAGATGATTGTCAAGCGAATCCTGGAAGCTCAAGAAGACGACTCCGCTCCCGAAGATCTGGCACGGATTGCACAACAGCATTCCATCTGGTCTCGAAAGTTGGCACTGGCACAAGCACACAAAGACTACTATGCCGCTTATCATCCAAACCTCACTTCGGTACTGCCAGAGATGCCTGCCTTGTTGGACTGTCATAAGGATATGGCGACCAAGAAGAGATCGCTGTTGGGTGGGACCATGGCTCAAACTGGGCGGCGAGTACGGTGTAGAATGTTCTAGCTCGTTTAGCAAGCTACTTCAGCTAGCTTGTTGAATGCAGGTCGATCGCTACCCGAATCATTTCATAAAGGTGGAGGCTTCTTATTACCATTGCTAACTATCAGTACGATAAGATAACAGGATCTTTGTACTTCTTGAACCCTCTCGTACATCATCCACCAAGCTAGCAACTACAGTAGAAGCGTCGTGTCGAAGCATGGTGGGGAACTGAATTTCTCCAGTACAAGAGCAACATTCGGGAACTGGAAATAATGGTACGGGTAGCAGTACAGTTGCTATTGATAGCAAGGAATACTCTAGCTGCGCTGTTCTAATACTTATGATTTCAGAAATTAAGGTCTAGCTAGACAACAGTGTGACGCATCTAAATGTAGATATCGTTCATAGTCCATCACCAGTACTAGCGTAGTGCTGGTTCTGAGTTCATTTCTCATTCTGATTCATTCGTGTCATCGCGAACAGTTTTCTGCAAGCTAGACTAGTTCAAACAAAGTGCGCCAAGGACGGCATTGACTTGTTCCACAGCATTGTCCACATCCTTGGCGGCCGTTGACGCTTCCACCTTGTCGGCATGCCGACGCAGCGTCTCAAACAGGTCAATGTTGGGAAGTGATTCCTTTCGTTGCATCATAGGAATGGGACTGGAGGTGTCCAAAGGCAAATCCTCATCATGAGTGTTAAACTGCTCCGGCTTGATCCGATCGACCCTCTTGGGTTTCCCATCGGGTCCAAAGATGCGCCGAGTTCTGGGTTTCTTGGGTCCCATCCATTGGGCCTTCAACGCTTCCCAAATACCTGGTAGATCTTCCAAAGTTTCCAGGTACATATGAGCAATGTTCTGCAGTGTGGAGTGAGATTCCAAGAGGCTTGGAACATGGAGTGCATGTTCATCCCCTGGGATTCTGCTACTACTGATCATCTGAACATTCTCTGCCAATTTGGCTTGGGCATCCCGAAAGAGCCAGGGAATGATCCGCGTAAAGCGCTGCAATTGTCGATTCACTTTGCAGTGTTCAAATTCCACCATGGATTTCTCTGCTTTTTTTCGATGCTTGAAACGATGTACCAGTTTGGCCAATTGGCGTTGTTTCAGTTGTTCAATTTGTTCCAATTTTCGATGCAACAGCATCATGCGAAAAGCGTAGCGCTGTCGGTACCCACGAAAGAGAGCCTGGAGTTTGGTGGCTCCAACATGTTGTTGTTGCTTTTCCTTTTTCTTTGTTGCGAGAGCTTTGAGAGAGTCTTCTTTTGTGCTAGGGCTAGACAGCACCACTCGACGACCTACACAGTCACCACCCGTAATGTCATGTTCAAATAGCGGAGAAGAAGTTTCCGAGTCTGTCAAAGCACTGGTTTGACTGATATCCCGACTCTCCAGCATCTGGTGCTCCGGTATTTGCTGCTTGTAGAGTGATTCCGATTGAGCTCCCCACTGCTCGCGATGATCCAACAAGGACAGGTGCGCTGCCAGAGCCGACGGTTTGTTGTTGTCGTCGGAGGAACTGTTGCTCCGCCTAAAGCTATCAAACACATTGCCCAGCAAGCTCTTGGCTCGGGACTTTTTGCTCTTCCCCGCAAACAGACTGCTGCTGCTGCTCTGGGAACGGCCACTTCGGAGTGTATTTTCTCTTCCCGTCAAGAGCGACAGGGGCTGCGTCATGGTCGAAAAACGCGAATTCTTTGGAGTGCTACTACTATCGTTGCAGCCTGCAGATAGCGAAAGGGAGCTGTTGGTAGCAGCGTCTTGCAGCGGCTGTCGTCGCATAGTCAAATAGCAGGAAGCGGGAAACAGGAAAACAAGCAAGCTCTTGGTTGTTCGTCGACCAAGGCTACTGTACCAATGGAACCGGCAGTGGAAGGTTTGTCTTATTGCCACTCTCACCCCTCACCTCTCTCACCAAAACAACGTGACCCTTTGAACAAGAACCAACTGAAAACTTTAGGTTCGAAGAGGGCGCCCGCGCAAAAACGGTGAGATGTACTAACAGATAGCGAGGGCTTACTTATGTGACAAATTCTACTTAGAATAAGTACACCCACCTTGTTAAAGCCTCATTGGCATAAACTTCTATGCATAACTTCCATGACGCTGTACTGGTACCATACCATGGTAGTTTCTTTGTCCAGAAAGACAAGACAGCGTAGCGCTCGGGACTCAGATGGTGGCTACCGCCCCACCCCCACGCCACCCTTGCTTTGATGTTTTATTGACTGCAGAGGGCATAGTTTTCTTGCTTTGTTTTGTTGGGGGCTCATCTGCTCCATGATACTAGCTAGTACATGTACATAGCTTGAGCAGGTACATCGATGCATCATGGGCTTTGTTGGCTGAGTGATTTCAGTGTATGGCATACATGTTCTGGAGTCGAGTCAGATGGTCCGTTAGGTTTTTGTTGTACTAGAACAGCGTGCTGAGGAGGGAGCTGGTTGGTGTGCGTGGAGGAGGTGGTTGGCTTCACTCTCAAAACCTGCCATCAGTGTCAGAGGCATCAGCATCCCGCACAATGGTGTCATTACTAGTACGGAAAGCCGCTTGCCAGTACCAAAAGACCCTTGCTGCCACCATATTCCTAAAACAAAAGCTGTCACCACCGGTCTGGACTGGAATACTCTCCTAGCTATGCATAGGCTCACTGGTGAAGACATCCTGGCTGCCTTGCTTGTTCCGAGTCGATTCAAAGCTACCATATCCATGCGTCAATATACCGGTATACAAGGTCGATCTAGGGGGGTATTATCTACACTGGTCCTTCAATGTCTCCCCAATGTTCACAGACCAGGCCAGCCTTCTCTGCAGCTCGCGGCTCGCACTGCCAGATTGATTGAGAAAACTCCTAGATAAGATGCTTCCGATGGATAGCCGCCGCCTTTGTAACATGCATTTCAAATTTTGCTCTGTTGGTTTATAGCGCTACACTAGACAGTCTTGGACAGCTGGTGAATTTCTGAACTGACCGTCCGGGCAAGGACGGAAGTATCTACAGTTTGTACACCAATTACTGACAAGGGTTGGATACATGAAGCTCAACACGCAGGCGCGAGCTCTGGCAGTATGTTCCTTATTTCAAGTTTTTCCAATCGATGAAGCCCGAATGCAGTCCGTAGGGAACATGATAAGGCAAGGTTGCCGAATAGACAGGCCCTGCATCCAAATCGTCTCCATCAAGCATCATCACTTTGGATTGAATGGGCGCAGCATCATAATCGTTTGCGACATCCTTCCAGTTGACACCCTTGGGTACGTAATTGGCGATGATTAGAATGTATTCTCCATCTTGGTCCACCTTGGGCACCACGGTCGGTTCGGTCATGACGGCAAACCCCTCTGGCATTGCGAACTTTCCCACGACGTCTCCCTTATTGAACTTGTCCGAATCCACGGCCGCCAATTTGGCAATGGCTCCAAAGATGACGCCTTCTTGGGGCTGAGCATAGACTTCCAGAGGCCCACCTATTGATTTGGCCGATAGACAGTAGCAAGCGGGACACTCTAGACCAGTCAGTTTTTCATTGATGACGGGGAATTCCACCACATGTTCGGGATTGAGCGTTTGCTCCGTCACCACTCCGGTTGTCAAGTCAATGGAATATTCGTAGTAGTAACTGGGTGCGAATTGTTCGAGATAGCAGGCTTGGGGAATGGGTTCGGACCGGAATCCCTGTACAATGACAGTGTTGGCATCATCCGTTTCCCAGGCATTGACCGCATGCAGGACAACTCCTGGTTCGCAGTCAAACCAACGAATCTCCCCCTTGTTGTTGTCACCACGAGGGACCAATCCAATGCGTGCGGGATGATCTGGTTCGTATTCGACTGGGAATTTGTCTCTGAGGATTCGATTAGTTCTCAAAGTGAGAGGTAGGTCCAATACAACGGCGTAGTTTTCAGTAATGGCACAGTCATGACTAAAAATGGGTGTGGGGATATCAATCCCAACCGATTCTTTGAGCGCAAATCCCGGAGCAAAGACATCCATTCTCAGGTAGGGTTGTTGATCCGATCGATACGAGACATGGATCCTGTCCCCCGTTTTGGGACAAGTGCGTCCGTGGGCACTGAGGACCCCTCCCGAGATGGGAATGGTGGTATCGATCGCTCCATTGAGAGAAGATGAGGCTTCCACGGTACGAAGGCGCCCATCTTGACCAATTTCGACCTCACTTGGCGGGCATTGCTCCATCAGGGCTAGAATTTTGCCGCCGTGTTCTGCCAATGCCGTGTTGCAGGTATCCTTTTGTGCCTGCAGCGTTCGAAAGGCCAGGGCATTGCTCACAATGGATTGAATCATGGGAAGTCCACGTGGAACACCACTGAGCGTGCCCTGAAACTTTTTGCCGGATTGTTGTTCCAATTGTCGTCCTTTGGTATCAATGTACGTGGCACTGTAGGTAGGCCGCATCTTTGGTTCTTTGGATTTTGGAGGAAATGTCACGCAATGAATCATACCATCTCCGTCGTAGAATCCATCCGTGGCATCGGCGCCATTGGGCCCCACTCTCAAGTAGGCACCCGGCGGAAAATCTGCGGGAATGGTTCCTTCCTCTTTTGCAATGGCCATGGGATCGGGTCGTTCGGGACAAGACACAAAGAGGGCGTTCCACGAGTCCGTGTCATGATGCCTCTTTAGAGCAGCTTCGGTTTGATCTTGCAGGCTCTTGATTTCCTCCTTGGAACGCTGAATCTTGGATTTGCTGGGCGCTACAGTCGAAGCCGACGTCGACAACAAAGGGAGAGAAAAGGAGTGGACCTCATGGCCCGACAAGAGCAGCAGCAGACTGGTACTAGTAGCTACGATCCTCATTCTCTTCACTTTTCCTATTCCAACCAACCAACCGAAACAGTGTGCGAGGAGTCTCGGACAGACCTCTACTAGAGGGGAAGCGACGAAGAGTGGTCTGATCCGATTGAATCATTCAGAAGGAAAGAACATGCGCTGTCATGGGCTTGATGCTCAGCTAGCTACTAGCTAGATAGAGCTTCTACGACTACTAGTACTGTACGGGTTGCTGGCTTGATTTTGTGTGTGATGATGCTGGTATCGCAGACGTCATCCTCATTTTTCTGAGGAGTTGTGGGAGTTGCAGGAGTGGTGAGGAACTCTGCTTCATTGGCAGATTTTCCTTCGAGGTGGTTGGCAGTTGGCAGAGTTGGCAGCATCCCATTGCTGACGTGGCGTCCTGTTGAAGCAGCTGTTCTGTAGAGGAACGGTCTTCCACCAACAAGTGCGAACAGGCGAGCACAGGGGGGGGGGAGACCGTATCTTCTGGAACCATGTGACAATTTCACCTAAGGCCGCTCTCTACCGGAGGGACTAAAGTAGCGACTAAGCCATATTTCGTAGTTTAGTCCATAGTTTAGTCTCCGGGGGTGGTGTCTACCCAAGCCACTAAACGTCCCACGGACTAAAGGGTTTAGTCAAAGTTCGTTCACCGACTAACCGGAGGCTGGTTAGTCGGTGAGCGAGCGTAACGACTAAAGCCTCTTTAAGAACGAATCGAATCAGCCTCATGGACAGCCTCACTATCAGAGCATCGTGACAGAGCTGATAGAGTAGAGGTGCAAAACAATACGACTGCACACCGAGTTGGATAACAAATTCCAACAGGATTACCACAGAGGTGCCTTCGTGGGAGTTCCGAACGATCGAACGATCGAAGAGGAGTACGGTCGGCCGATAGTAGAGGTGCAAACGATCGAACCATGGAACCATCCAAGAGGTGCAAACGATCGAACGATCGAATGATAGTAGTAGTAGAGGTGCAAACGATCGAACGATCCAATGATAGTAGTAGTACCGGTATAGTAGTAGTAGAGGTGCAAACGATCGAGGTGCATGGCAATGATGTGTTTTGAGTCTTGTTATCTCAGTCTTGTTATCTCAAAAAAGTAATCACTTCTGTTAAGTCTTTGTTTGAGTCCTTTAATCCCTTCTGTTAAGTCTTTGTTTGAGTCCGTTACATCTTTTTTGAGTCCTTTAAGTCCAGTAGTGTTCCGTTTAGTCATTTGTTTAGTCATTTGGTAGACAGGTTGAAATGACTAAAGAACTGACTAAATTGTTTAGTCCGAGATTTAGTCATCTGCTGGTAGACACCACCATTACTAAAGGATAATGACTAAATCTTGAACTAAACAACCACCTAAAGGTTTCCTTTAGTCGCTACTTTAGTCCCTCCGGTAGAGAGCGGCCTAAGTAACTTAACGGCCATTAAAGTAACTAAACGGCAGTTGCTAAGTAAGCAAAATGTGAGCACTTGCAAGTCAACTCCAAATCAACTCTGACCGTGGCAAAAATGGTACCGCCTTAAGTAGGTAAATTGTGAGCGTTTACACATCACTTGCGACAAACCCAATCAGAGACTGCCAAAACACGAACAATGGTAACTCATGTCGCAACAACAATAGCAAGGGAACGACTACGCTGTACCAACCAACCAACCAACCAACCAAACCAACCAAACCAACCAACCAACCAACCAACCAACCAACCAACCAACCCAACCAAACCAACCAACCAACCAACCAACCCAACCAACCAACCAACCAACCAAACCAACCAACCAACCAACCAACCAACCAACCAACCAACCAACCAACCAAACCAACCAACCAACCAACCAACCAACCAACCAACCAACCAACCAACCAACCAACCAAACCAACCAACCAAACCAACCAACCAACCAACCAACAACCAACCAACCAACCAACCAACCAACCAACCATGCGACCACGAGGACAGTCCACAAACATCGACAACCAAGCGATCGGGCGATATACCACCGCAACAAGCTCTTGTAGCACGTGTAGTAGTGCGTGTAGATGTTGTTGTAGAAGATCGAAACTGGTCGACTTGGACAACCGACCGACTGCCGAACAACAGCCTTGACCTTGATCAAGCAACCAAACGACAATCAGAAACAACAACGCCAATCAACACGGCAAACGCCAATCAAAATTGTTGCATCGATCTCGAGTTGTAGTAGTAGCACCTGCCTGGTAGCGGATATCCGATTCACAACTGGTTGTAGCCTAGTAGTAGCGGATCGTGTTGTTTTGTTGCTGTTGTTGTTGTTACTGAAAGGAGCCAAGAGTCAACCACGGTAAATCATGCTTCGTTCCAGGGTTTCTAGCAAAATTGGCCGGGATGAATTGAGTACTGAAATTTCGATAGTGAAAACAGTCCTGTTTGCTTCTCAACTTCAACTTTCTGTAGAAAACGTACTAGAGTCTACACGAATTCTCCAAAATAATTGGAGCATGGTTCCGATAATTTTAACTGTACATTATTAACTGGTACCAGTCGAAAACCTCCTTGAAAAAGCGCGCCCCCATTGAGCAGTTGAATATTGTAACTGATCTATACTCGCCAATAACCAGACATGAAGGATGGATATGACATCGCAACGCCTTCGACAGGTCGGTCGACGATGATCCCCAGTGTTAGTTAGCCATTGTCCTGCCAGCCAGGTCATGTATTAGGTGTCTAAAGTAGAGAGCAAGCTGAAATCATGGATTTAGGTAAATTTACAATATTTACCACATTTTAGACCCCTAATTCTTTTATCGGGCCTTAAATCCAGCACTCTGAATTTGAGACACGGAAAGTTGCTTCCACGCTGATGAGAACAAACACAAAACTCATTCCGTTCGATCCATCACCATGACCAAGGCAACTCGAAACAAGCGGCGTGCCGCTGCCACCACGCCTTACCACAAAGACAGTAGGACCTACTTGACGGTACCACTTCGAAAACAATTGACTCCAGCTGTTCTGCTTCAACAGCATGTGGACTCCGCTTTTAAATAAAATGGCTTCAACCCTTCTTTGGCTGAGAGAGTGTTACCGTATTAACGTGGGCATTGTGTTTTAGCTCGACACGGACAACCACTGAGTCGTGCAACTCCAGCCTTTTTGCAATGAGTGCAAGTCTCTTTCCAACAACAGCATCAACCAGTGCCCCAAATCAAGATGACAACAGTGGTGAACTGGGTATTAATAAAGGCGGATTTCCCAAGCTGTCAACGGGGCGGTGGCGTTCGCTGCAGGTGAATGCATCGCAAGGTCGGGATCCAAAGAGAATGAAGCTTCGTCAATGCAACGATATCCCGCCTGTACAGAATGGAGTTATATCTGCAAGCAAAACTCCAGTTTTTGATGAAGGGCGGAAGGTTGATATAGTCTTCGCACGCGCTCGCAATGTCAGGCTGTTCTTTGACGTCGACGTTTCGGATGTAACAGAAGTTCCCGATCACGAGATGCCCAGCTACCTAAAGAAGGCCCTAAAAGGCTGTTTTACCTCTGAGGAAACACTGCGTAATGCGGTGTACACAAACCTCATCGATGACCATGGAGTCGCCTTTCCAGAATCAAGTATCAAGAAAGTTAAGGGACTGAAGAAAGTGTTGTGGGCGGCAATAGGCAAAAAGGGCAGAGTCTACGAAGAAACAGATCTTGCGTCGCTCATGACCGAATATGGCAAATTGCAAGGTCACAAGTCCAACAATATGCGAAGGATCATGAAAGGATTGCCTGTCACAACAGCTTTTAAACCAGACTTTGCGCCTCTTGATTCCAAGGATGGAGCTGATATTCAAATCCGATTTGGGGAGTTCAAAATTACAAGGAAATACAACACAACAATAGCCTGCACACAATGTACCATGTATCTTCTTGCTCTTATGAATTGGCTGCGCACGGAGCTTGGTAAACCTGTTGACGCTGTTTATGGGTTTTATTTTTGCGGACTCAGATGCGAGCACCAAGACTGCACCTATTCTGTGGTTTCGTCAAGCTTTCTATGCCAACTACACTTGGGGAATGCCTTGAAGTAGAAGTCTACGAGACTACAGACACGGTTGAGAGTAACGTGCCAATGAACGCGTTGATTCACTTCCTGCTGCATGGTAAGTGTTGGTCTGTTAGTGGAGAAATGCTGCAAGGTGGAATTATGAAACAAGAGAGACGGATTCCCTCCCTGTACACCTTACCGACAAGTCTTTGGGAAGACAATCCTGACAACCGGCAGCTTATCATTCACGGAGCGCTATCTGTTGTGTTCATTGTCTCGGTACCTGGCCTGAAACATTTGCTGGCAGAACACTTCAAGAAGGTCAAACACAATTTGCTCTGGGGTTTGTTCTGTCAGCGGGTGGATACCTTAATCTCAGCAGACGGTAGCGAGAGTGACGATACAAAATACTACCTCAAAATTAGATCCAAAGACACATCTTTGCAGCCCAAACCAATGGAACATATGGATGACGCATGGGACGTGCTCTCGCAAAATCAGTCAGTCTCAGGAACCTATCCTATCAGACATTCTCTGATAGCGGTATCGGGGTTACACTCATGAGAGATCGCGGAGTCCCCCTGGCCACCGTCATTTCATCTTTCAGAGCGAGGGCACTCCTTCCCCAGTTTAAGACAATCATGGAGACAGCCTCATTTCTCAGCAACCATCTCCCGCATGGGGACGTTCTCCCCCACAACCTTGTCTATGACGACAAAAAGGAGGAGATTAGCCTCATCGAGATTGACAAAGGAGTTTGGACTCGGGGATCGCTTCCGACAAGGAAGAATGTGTACAACAATGGAGATGACGACTGGTATAAAGCTCTTCGGTATTCCAACTAGAGCTGGCTTCTGTGTTTGGGGAGCTTCACACACCCCTTGACCTTCACATAGCACTGGTTGACCGCCTCAACAGTTGGCGCAATTCCCTCCCATTGCTCCTCAACCCCCAGTGGGATGCCACCCTTACTCAACTTATTGTCTCCCAAGACCGGATCGAATGGAAGAACTTCTTGGAAGGTCTACCATCCATCCGTTTTGTCCAGTATATGGATTCCTTCTACAGACGAGAGGGATACTCCATCACTGGTACCACTTGGACTTCCAAAATCCTTCGCAAAACCCACATGATGGCTTGGAGCTTATGGGAACATCGGAACAAGATTCTACACAACGACCAAAAGCCCCGTCAGAAACAAGCCCTCAACCTGTTACACCAAGCAATTGCCAATGAGTACATCAAAGGTACCAGGGGACTCCCCTCATGTTATCACCATTACTTCAAATACTCACTCATTTCCCTTCTCACAAAACCAAAGTCCTACAAACATTCCTGGCTTCAAGGGCTGCACACTGTCCGCGATAGAGAAACTAGACGTGCCCACCAAATCACTGAAGACAGAAGGAATTCCAGACTCTATCAGTGGTGTGCCTCAGGACGCCTCTAGCTAGCTTCTCCATCACCTCTCCCTTGAACCACCTCAGAACCAATCCGTCTTTTCGAAGACACCATTAGCACATGGCCTTAGCGTGCCATACCCTAAGGAAAGCATTAGCGTGCATTCCCAAAGAAACAACAACCTTGTATGGAACATCTTTAGGGGCCTTAGCGAGCCCATAACCCTTCTACTCGAACAGGGGGCCAGTAGTGCCCCCTGTCATTCTGAGTGAAGTATAAGCAAGCCCTCGGTGCAGTAGCAAAATAATACCTACTAATCATTGTGACCAACCAACCAACTTTTTGTAAAAGACGCAAAAAGGTACACAAGAGCGCAGCTGCTCGCTTCCTTCTTGTACATTCTCACCGAGGCGCCAAACGAGAATATTGAGTGTTACAGGAATGTGCCAAGCTGAAGGAAGAAGCAAAGAAACTTGGCAAATCTTTGTGCGATCTAGACAAGACGAACAAGCTTGCGAAGATACCCGAACGACTAAAAAAGTTCAACGCCTGGGTAGACAGGCTCGAGAGCATGATGAATGACATCTTGAACCATTTTTAATGCGGAGCATCAGCGGCTAAGTCAGCAATCTCGCATTTCCAATAGACAAGTTCTTCCTTTTGTCGTTGGACATCACAGCTTAGATTGTGTAGCGATTCGTGCCTTCGTTCATGTGAAAGGGACAGACATCGGCGACTTGTAGCAAGCCAATCTCACTTCCTCGTCCGCTCAATTGAAAAACAGCAGTGTTGATTCCATGGAATTCCACACCCTCAAAGGTGTCAGCCCAAGAGCATGCAAGAGCGAGTGCTTTTTGATCATCTTCGGTGGAACCAAGCCGAGGATTGCTGAGTGGTTTACCGGAGCTTTTGGTATCGACTTTTTACGCCGCAAGAAGCATATTGCGAAGCTTCCTCCATGTATTGGCTCCAAACACAGGTAACTTGGGACCATCACATTTGAACTTGTTAACGTAGAAGGACTTGACTGCACTAGAGTATCCGGTGGCAGTTTCGTATGAGACTCTACCATTGCGAGGGTCAAGGCAGCACATAGCATCATTGGTGAGTTAATAGAAAAAACCGCCGAAGAGTCAGTCCCAGAAGATTTCAGGGCTTACAGATTCACCCTTGATTTTAAGAGCTTTGTAAGGTATGTCCTTGCAATTGGTGAAGGATGGGTGACGAATTTGCTTGTAGAAATGCTTGAGCCTTGAGGTAATGATTCAGATGTTTGAGTGCGCTCTCGCGCCTGTTGGATTGCTTCGCCATATCACGCAGGTCTTTCTCTTCATCCTCATCTTCGCATGCTGTTATCCCTGAGAGGGCGATGGAGTCGGGAAAGTGTTGAGTTGTGGTGGCCGTTGTTAATGTTGTTGTTGGGACATTGTTTTGTTGGTGGAGTTAGGACTTGCTACCGAGGAGTTGTTGACAGAGTCAGGATTTGCTGGCGAGAAGTAAGACTACATGGCTTCATTGGTTTACGAGGTTCCCCTTGCGCTTACCTAATTGAATTTTCTACTTTGGTACTTTGAGAACCTGAACAACTCTCGAAAAATAAATAGCTCGACAAGGATGAGATCTTAGAATACTCAGAGACCATTTTTCCATTTTTGTGCTTATGGGCCAACATTTTAATGTCACAGAAATCGGGGCACGAGCTCTAAGTAAAGGAACCAAAGACGACCAGTTTCTATGCACGATTCAAGGAGTCACGAGCTCATTTTATATAAAGGCCTCGGCTCGTTGATTTCATGAAACAGAAATTGATTTTACAGCCGTAGCATTTCTACTGAGGTCTACAAGAAGCCAATTTCTGTGAAATTTCTGTGAAGCAACCTTTTCTTGGTCGTCTATGGTGTATGGTGGCTAGTCTCTAGAGTACTGAGTAGCGCAGATCCGCGTTGAGGTTGGAGCAGGGTTCTCGTCTGGTCCCCAGGAGTCTTTAAGCACTCTTACCTTGAACACAAAGGTAAAAGGGATAAAGGTACCTGGTACCGGTATCACCCATAGCTTCATCAATCATCAAGCAACTGATACTCTTAGTAACCACCGTATCTTAGCTTCTGCTCTGGATAATAGGCAGGTAGCTAGTGTGTTAGACAGGTACATCAGTAGTGCCGTTAGACTGAGCAGTATTTTGCCTCTTACGGAAACAATATCTGCGTTTCGAAATGGAAACTCAAAGTAAGTACCGGTAGTTTATCATAAAAGCCAACCTGCCCTGCCCAGCAGCAGGCAGAAGAAACAATTCTGCAATTTGACACTACTCTTACTCATCAGTAGTACATGTTTGTGTATACAAATGCAATACATCAGTGCATAGTACCATATATCTATCAATTCAGTGATATATTCTGCATACGGTATTGATCAGTCCTGACTGAGTATTGGTATCTTAGCCTGGCTACTACTAGAGCTTCCAAAAGGATACATGTTCTCTGGCTACTAGCTAGCTAGAGCTATCCAAAAGGACACGTGTACTCTAGCTACATGTAGTAGTCGGTCTTGCTTGTGGAGGAGCTGCGATCTTCCATGAGCAGAGTGGAGGGTGGAGGCAACAGGCAATCTGAGAAATTTTACATGTAATAATGACTGTGTAGCCGTGTAGCCTCTAGCTACTAGTAGCCTCTTATCTTCAAGGGAGTTTCAAACTGGCTCTGACACCGGTACCCGAAGAAAGCAGAGAGCAGAGCCTTTTTTCCTGGATTTAACAGATTACAATTCATCTGCCTTCGCGTCGACATGCATTAACTACTGGTCACAATCGACCAATGAAAATCTGTTTCTTGGTTCTCATTTTTACGACAAGGATCTCATAAGAGCTCTATCGAACAGCTTCTCATGTCAACAAGAGGGATTTAACAAACCCATCTCTTATTGACTTAAGAAACGCGTGTTTCTTGGTCGATAAATTGCCCCCACTGCTCCAACAAGCTGGTCCAAAACCTGCCGCAAGCTGCTCTGGTTCATTCTAACCCAGATTTTCTCCCCTGGGAGCAACTATTGGAAACAGCTGAAGCAAGAGTACAGTTGTTTCCACAGTCATCCGCCAATGTCGCGAACAGAAGAGCCAGCTGCTTGCTGACGGACATCCTTCGCGTTCATTGGAAGTATCAACGCTTGTAAATTAATTGATTTTGTTTGCGTCAGCCAGCTGTTCACTTCCGCCAGTGGCGACACAATTAAACCACAACCCACAACAACAATGAATTTTTAAAAGAATAGTGAACAGGTTTGTATGCTGTGAGTTCGTGAGTTCAGGTCCGATTATTAATATTATATTTCAATAGCGTCGCACCAACTGCATCCTGGCTTACAGGCAGGATCAAGGCACACGTGGTTCTTGTGCAACTCGTTCTCAATGGTCAGCTCACTATAACAGCTCCGTAACAGTGTACAGTATTTGTAACGGTACAAGTGGTGTGGCATTGCCCCAGCAGATGGTGGTTCACTTCTCCCGTCCTTTCATAATATCTTTTCCGCCCAAGCGATACAATCGCCAGCAGATGCACAAATCGTTTGCTATCTTTTGCTAACAGCACCCTCATCATCTTTATTAGACTAGTAGCAGTTGACGACCATGAACTCCCTCGTTACTGTTACCCCCAGCAGCATTGTCCGCCGCAACAACGATGCCGTGGTGTCCTTTCAAGGAGGCAAGTATCAAGATTCGCTGGCCCTCTTTCAGGAGGCTCTCGGCAATGTGCGAGCCAAGCTGGCCGTTGCAGATCATCAAGCGGCCGCGGACACGAGAAGGCCGAAGGATACTGTGTTGTTGATCCAAGGCGTGCCACTGGATGAGTCGATTCGTTCCAGTGCTCGCATACAAGTGGACAATAGCAGCGGCATGACATTCTTTGATCGGTGCTTTCTCATTGCCAACCCTCTTACGACTGCCGACAATGATACTACTAGTGCTAGTGCTAGCGCTAGTAGTGAAGCCCATATCAACTCGCTGCTCGACGACAATGAGTGCAAGGTATGCTCTGTCCTCCTCTACAACATTGGTGCCACTCATCACCTGGCTGGACTCGCCACTGGCTCCCAGCAAGAACTAGACAAGGCGTTCAAGGTCTACCAAATGGCCCTCGAGTTCCTTCAGATTGAGTACGAAAACCAGCAGCAAGAGCAGATGGACAATGTCTTGCTCATCCTGTCCATGGCCATTATGAACAACATTGCTCACATTCAGAGCACTTGGTTCCAGTATCCACAAGCCCGCCACTGTACTCAATGGCTGCGAGAGGCTGCCGAACACATGGATACCGCTCTTCTACGAGACCCCGATTTCATGTTCTTCTTCCTCCGATACTACGTGCTTCCTTTCAATGATGTCTCCTCCTGCTCTGCAGCTGCCTAACTAATCATGTGTGTTGTTGAAGAAGAAAGATAGGGACAGTTGTTTTTGAAAGCGGATGGGCGTGCCAACAATCAAGTGCGAGCACAATCGGCCGCAGCCAGTTTTGCGTAATGTATCATAATAATAATTAAAAGAGTTAAACAAAACGAAAAATCGTTCACACCTTTGTTGCCGTGCGAGATGGATAGAGTGGTAGGAAAAGGGTACTGGCTAGCTAGCTAGTACTGGTTTGGTTCGTCTACCGTAGCTCTAGCTAGCTAGAGCGGAACCTAGCTAGAACGACTGGTTCAGTGTATTAGTCTAGTCTAATAGTACTAGTAGTAGAGGATGGAACCGCAAACGCTAGGGTCAAGCGTAGCGTTTAAACGCTAACAGGTCCCCTTAGCGTTTGTTATTATGCGTTTTTTAGCGTTTTTTATTACTATGAGCTCAGCGTTTGTGTTAGCGTTTTATTAGCGTTTTTGTTAGCGTTTCTGTTAGCGTTTTTTACAGTATTGGTGCACTACAATAGAGTGCAATCAGACTATTAAGAATGGTGTGATTCTTTCAGGCCCGATGGTGCTATAGAACCATACCAACACGCACCGGCACCAGTACCACTGTCCAGAAAGTTCATCTATATGTATAAGGAGTTAGTTCATGTTTGGTCACTGCAGCACATCCTTCCAGATAACCCAAAGTAGCATATCTGGTCTTATTTTGCATCCAAACATGTCATTTTTAGGCCCGATAGTGCTATAGAACCATACCAACACGCACCAGCACCAGTACCACCATCCAGAAAGTTCATATATATGTATAAAGAGTTGGTGAAGTAAGTTATACAAGGTTGTAAGTGGCATCTTCATTGAAAAACGTTAAACACAGAGATAAAACGCTATAAAACGCTATAAAACGCTAAAAACGCTGTTTTTATACACTACTACACAAACACGCTAAAAAACGCAAACGCTTGGGGCAAGCGTAGCGTATGAAACGCTACGCTAAAACGCTAAAAACGCTACGCTAAAAAACGTTGCGGTTCCATCCTCTAACTAGTAGAGTTTATATAGTGACTCAAACATTGGACGCGTGCTGTCCTGGCCCAAGACATTCAAGGCGTAGGTGCGTGTTGCGTTTGTCTTTGTTGTACATGTATCGAGAGCCCCTGAAACGCACGCGGTTGTATTATACGTATAACATTTGCATTATGTATTCTACAGATCATACGTATTACACATATAACCTTTTTAATATGTATTAGACAAGTCATACGTACAACACAGGTAACACAAGTGGAAAAATATTATACGTATTACATGTATTATGTGTTGTACGTGTTTTACGTATAATACATAGTGACAAATTTTTACTAAGTTTTTTTGCCAGGTGTTTTGCTAGGTGTTTGGGAGGCAGAGAGGAAGATGCACTGTTGCAGGCCATAATACCTGACAGCTTATCAAGTAAAATGGACTCTTACCTATCTGAACTCTCCCATGTTGCTAGATACAATATCAATGATGAAGAATGGACTCCTGCTTCAATCATTGTGAATGTAGCAACCTCACTAACTGATGATACACCAAAGGAGATAAACATTATGGATACTCTGGGGTTCGATAATTATCGAATGGAGAAATCGACGGTGTATTGGCTACCTTCGATGTATCAATCTTGTGATTCGGCGCATATTTTATTAAAGAAGTTTTGATGCCATACTTTGTACTTTCTTGCAAGACTGCTGGATTCCGTATCAAAAACAAGGGATTCGATAAGAGGCGGAATCACATTACCATATGTTGTCCAAGGAGTCGTTTTTACAAACAAAGGTCCCAAAAGGAGAGCAACAAAACCACCCAGACTCAGCTTCCTGTTGAGGGGGAGGGTGTCAAATGTCCATTCTCTTTCAATGTTCTATATAGCCAGGAACACAGACGATGGTATCTACCCAAGTTCCAGACAGAAGCCGTTACACTAGTGGAACAATGCCCAAAGAACCATCTCTCGCCAAGTGTTGTTAAGACTTTACTTTATGAACAGACAGGCTCATCTCTAACTTCGAACAAATCGAATCTCTAAGGAAGAGTCTGCATCAAGGAGTGGTCTTGTCTTTGGTGAAACCAGACGGTACCATCTCTCAAGTATCACATCAGGAGGCGACAGCAGCAGATAGGCTACTTGCCAGATTGCAATCCGATCCAACAAAATCGTTCGTTGTTCTTTTTGCCTCATATGACCCCGGCCTTCTTCGAATCAGACAATCACATAGGGGAGCCATACCTCAGAACAATAACGGAAGGCAAGAGCATAGCGGAGCAATGTTGAGCTTACCTGCAACCAACAAATCAAGAAAGAGTGTTAGGGAAAGGCCATCGACCAGTCCCGCCAAGAAATCAAAAAGATAATCTAGGAACTGCCCTTCTTCTTTCCCCTTTTCGCTCTCTTCACCCGCTGGATGCTGGGTGATGGATCCATCTTCGTTTCGGCGCTTCGCGGTCATCGGAATGGCTTGTTGAATACATGAAACAAAGTTCCGGGGAGTGATTTCTTCAGGGAAGAAGGGACCAGGATTGTCAGGGCCAAAGGGAATCTCCTCCTCAGATTCCTCAGCCTTCGTCCCATGACCGTCTCGCGGACCAGATTCATCGTCAGAATCCACCATGATGCCTCAACGAAAATACTAAACAAGAAAACGAAAATAGGTGAGACAACGAACACGGGTAATACGTATAATACAGGTGATACGTATAACACGGGTGATATGCATAATATATGTTACGCCTGTAACACGTGTTACACGCTAGATACGTATAACACGGGTGATACATATAATACACGTTACATGCATAAACGCGTAACACGCGTAACACGTGTTGCGCACTGAGGTACTTACATGGGTTCATTACTGGTCCCTACAGAAAGTGGTTGACAATGGTAGAATTCAAGGCCAGGTCTTCCACAGGCTTTGTCAGTGAGCCTTCAGAAGTATATGAATGCAAAGAGAATGGTCCTGAAGGCTGTACAGGGCCTGAGGAAGAGAGTGGAGGCAGAAAAATGGAGAATGAGTTGAATGAAGAGAAATCATTCTATCTTTCCACGGGAACAGTCTTCTTGGCTTCAACAAAGCCATACCACATTGCCTACTTACCCACAATGATGGTGCTATCTTCAAATAACAAGAGAAACCTTTGTATCCTTCAAACAAACAAGAGAAGAGAGGTTTTTGTCATGGTGGTTCTTTGTGGTGGAGAAGTTGGAGTTGAAGTCAAGTCATTTTGCGAAACTCGAACGGTCACGGTGGCTGGCTGGCGCACGTGTTATACGTGTTATACGTATTCCACACATAAGACGTGTTACACCTGTTATACGAGTTATACGTGTAACATCGCGTGCGTTTCAGGGTCTCTCATTGTTATGTGATGCCTGGTAAAGGCTTTCATGGGTGTCGGAGTGACAGTCGAGTGAGGCTGTTTTGCGAAGAATGCACTGTAGCAGTTTTGAGAAAACGCCGCGATTGTTCACGTGCCAGGAGCCATGTGCAACTATTGTTGCAGAACCGCTTTGCAGCAAGCAGCAAGCAACAAGCAATGATACCGTACGCAGTTACTGTAGGGGTTGACCTGACCCTCAAGGACTTGCTTGTGCTGCTGTGGGTACAAGTAGTCTCCTCAGGAAAAGCTTCTTTCCAAGGGCAGGAGCTATAGCTACGGTAGCTACCAGAAGCCAAGACAAGCTTAATAAGACTCCTTGTATTGTACTAGGGTCGAAATGCGCCGCGAACTCTTGGAGCGGCTTCTAATACAATGCTGGCTGCAAAGTAAAATAGGGCTTGGTTCATGAGTATGACGACTGGAGCATTCTTCTTCAGGGCAAGAAAGCAACAACATATATCATGCCCGGACTCTTAGAGGCCATCACATACCGTTTTCAAATCTAATTATAGAACTTAATCCCTCCGGGGACTTTGTAATTCCTAAGTTACCGGTAGGCAGGAAAGCCTTGCATGCAATAGCATTCTAGGACTGCACATACAGGACTATTGTCTACCCCGCCCACTATGGCTGGAGCTACATGTACGAGCTACGAGGACTAAGTGGTACTCGTATGGCGAAAGCTTCAGCAATGCACTTGTGTACCTATTTTAAAACCATCTGCCTGTATATGTTACCTTTAGCATTGCTCTGGTGTCTAAGGAAGAAGAATGAAGATGACGGGGTTTCGGGCTGCTCCGTGGTGGTGTGAACCTCCCCAGCCAATCCGCGGTGTATTCCTCATCTTTAATGCACACTCCGACCTTTCCGCCGTCTCTCTTTACCAGATTTCCGAGCACCGGGATAACGTCGCCACGAGACACCCCACAGAATGCCCAATGAAAACCGTGTGGCTAGCAACAAGATTCTATTGGTAATCGTTGTTCGAGGCTCCCCCCTCGATTGGTCAAAAATAAAAAACCGCATGGCTGTTGGGGCACATTTCGCTCCAATTTACTGAAGCGATATTTGAGCTCTTTTGCTGGATCGAAGTCAACATCCTGACAGAACAAAAGATCTTTCATTTTCATATCTTCTGTTTAGCGAGCATTCCAGAGCCGACAGGAGGCGTTGTGCAGCAGCATCTATATCGGGCACGAGGTAGATATCACTGAGTCTTCGTTCGAACATGCACCCGATTTCCATCTTGTCAACGATATGCTTCGGTAAGAATCGCTTTTTGAGAGAGTTGATGAGATTGATAAACAAGCCTGAATGGAAGTACTTCATTTTCTGAATTTGAAACTAAGGTAGAGAATCAGACAGAGACCGTTGTAAGTGAGACTAAGCTGCTGAAGACCTCCCACGAGGTGTATACTCTTGACAACGATTGCAGAAATTCACGTACTGGATACACGGCAAGGAAATCCACCCATATTGTCCTTATGGTTTTGAGATCCACGTTTCGTTTCCAATCAAAGCCTTGACATTCGACCAGAAAAATGGCCCCGCGTCGCATGCTTTGAAAGTCGGGTGCCATGCAATGGCCAAGGTAATAGATTCCCCACATGCCGGACTGGAACAAGCCTGGTTGTTTATTTAGCTTGTACAAATCGAAGGCTGCCATATCATATACGAAACAGTACGAGCCGTGGCTGTTGGAGTACGAGAAGGAGAGGAAGGCTGCGGGAAAGACTTGCAAGGTTGTCTTCAGCGACCGCATGCCGTCTTCCATTGAATCCAAGATTTTGTATTCTTCTCGAAAGGCTTGCATATGTGCTGCCCGTTCCAAGGCCGCTTGCAGATCTCCCCTGTCAGTTAGAGCCAATTGGGCATACGAAAAGTCGCTCATGTCATTGATTTCTGGGGATGCGGTGATGGCCTGCTTGATATTGAGAGCCCATTGACGCTCTTCATTTGTTAGCTGCATTCGACGTGGATCCAGCGGATCCAGTATCAAGTCTGCCAATGGCACTTCTGCGACCTCTTCGCCCTCTTCTTCGCCATCGGAATCATCATTACCGACGTTGTCCACACCCTGTTCCGCAACCGCGGCAACCAGCACTTCGCCCTCCGGATCGTCGTTTCGGATCACACGTACCGGGACCTCCATCACGCCTTCTTGGTGGTACTGCTCTTCATCCATCTTTAGCTTCGGTTTGCTTGCTTTTGACTATCTTTTAACAACGGCAAGACAACGATCGAGCTCTGGGTTGTACACTATGTAGCGATGGGCAATGGGCCGCGTAGTTGTGCCTCTCCAATTTCAGATCAAACCCAACAACAACATTAAAACACTAAATCGGTGGAACATGGTACAGTACCGATGCACGTGTGCACATTGGTACAGTCGTACGTACGGTACGATGTTCACGTGCACTTTTAAACTTACCACCCCCCTCCATGGTCGGGACTCAATTGATCTAACCAGATTACAGTATGTCTCACGTAGAAGTGTACCGAAGAAGCACGGCACGCGTTTGTGGCAAGAATTTTGCGACTAGCTACCTGGTACGGCTGTACCGTAGGTCACTGGTCACCATGCTTGGTTTTTGGTTAATAAAAGCTATATAAATCACTTTCCTTACCGCCCTTGAAGAACCATCCGAAGAATCCGGGAATGTTCCAGTCGAAAGTGGAGTGAGAGCGTTTGTACGAGGATTTCTACGCAGTGCCGAAAAAGCTTCATCGGACAAGTTCTCTTCTTTGAAGTCTGCGACAGCAAACGTCACTTTTGGTTTCTACCAGCTAGTTGTAACCTTATCTTTAAATCTACTGTCATATTTTAATTCGGTTTTTTCAGCGCTCGTCTCCTGTATCCCTTTGCCTCAGGGAAGTTCCTATCCGCGAACATGTGGTTCGTACGTACGCCGAGAAACACATTTATTTCCATTTATTAATCGCGCATTCTTCCCGTATGTGGCTTCATTCTTAACCATTCGCAGATACGTCATTCGCGAATAAGCCCACAGCAAATCCCCAACTCTATCGAGTTTCGAAAATCGAAAAGTGAGATCTCGAGATCTCGAGCACGTCCTCGAATCTCGAATCATTGAAAAGTGAGAAGAAGTACATTGTAATAGTAGCCATTCGGCAGCCGGTAGCCCGTTGTCATTGTAGCCACGCTGTTGTCATTGTCATCATGGACTATGAATACGAACAAGATGCCGCACTACTTTTGCAGCTCTTTATTCTAACGGTGGGCCTTTTACTGTGTCTACCGGGCGAACCTCGTAACCGTTCCTTTTTCGAATAAAGGTTGGCTTGGCAGCGCTACTGCAAAAAACACCAGAGGGGAGCAACCTTTAAGAGACGACTACGAATGAGCAAAGAAAGCTTCGACAAACTGCTATCTTTCGTAGTTGATGACTTGCTAGTAAACGAGACACAAGCTTTGCGGAGGGAAGGATCCATTCTTCCTGAACTTTGTCTCTATTGCACGCTTCGGTATTTGGCTGGCGGCTCATATCTGGATATTACTGACATCGCTGGAATATCACATAGCTCATTCTATTGCGTACTATGGAAGACTGTAACGGCAATCTGTAAGTGTCCGCAGCTGAAGATTCGCTTCCCAACTATCGACAAGGAAATAAAAGACGCAATAGACGGCTTTGCTGGGATATCCGATGGTGGCGCCATAAGCAACTGTGTGGGTGTCGTTGATGGCTATCTTAAGCGTCTAAGGGTTTCCGCAAAAAAGGAAACAGGCAACATTCGCAGCTTCTTCTCTGGACACTATCAGTGCTACGGAGTTAATATTCAAGCGGTGGCAGATCACCATTCACGGTTCATATTCTTTGCCTATGCCGCTCCATGAGTTTCTGACGACCGTAATGCTATGCGGCAATGTGCCTTGCACCATTTGGTCGAGTCACTGCCATCCGGTATTTGTGTAATCGGCGATGCTCCCACAGAGCGTATGGTTCCAGTGTACCAAGGTTCAGACAAGCTGGTTCCACTCTAGTACGACAATTTCAACTTCTATGCCAGTCAGTGCCGCATACGTGCGGAAATGGCCTTCGGAATGATGCAGCTGAAATGGAGAATACTTGCGCGTCCGGTTGGCTGCTCCTTGAAGAATATGCTGTGGTTGGCGCAAGCCATAGCTCGCCTACACAACTTTTGTATCAATGAACGCCTCCGAACTGCAGAAACAATTGAAAGTGTCACCGTTGGTGTTGGCACAGGATACATTCCCAGTATCCCACATGATGACAATGGCGATCCTGTGCAGTTGAACGGTGTTTTCACAGGTAGCTTTGAGGGAAATTCACTTCTACGGGAATTCATGGCCAATAGAGTCAGGCGTCTACAGCTGCAACAGCCTGCGAAGAACAGAAAGCGTAAAAGCAGAGAAGACAAATAATACACGAATCACATTTAAATATTAGTATTTTTATTCGGCCAGTGCGCCGGTTTCCTCTGTTTCAATAACTGACTTGGCCGGCACGATCTTCAAGTGTGCTTCAAGTTGCCCGATACGAACCTCCATTGCTCCAACCATACGGGCTTTGGACAAATCCCCATTGCGGGTATCCTCCTTCAATTTACAATACCAATTGCCAATATCAAAATAGTCATTCCAGCTATTCGTTTGAGAGATTTCCTCCGTTACGTTGTTTCTTTGGCTCATAGCTTCCTTCAAATCGGTGGTGGCGGTGGCAAGGGATTCCACCACGGCGGATACAGCCAGTTTTCCTGCTTTGCTACCAGCCGAATCAGCACTCCCAGTAAAGTCAACCGTCGAGTCACTCTTCAAATCTTCGTCCATAAATGCCACAAACTTGCCATCAATGGCCAGTTGTTGTCCACAAAGATAGTCACAGTAGTAAACTGTAACGGCAGGTAGAGCAGACGTAGATTTCCTCACTTTGGTAAACTTTGTCGTTGTGCAGTATGTCCAAACATCGTTGCTGTGCTCACCGGATTCTTCATATCCATGCGGCATCTCTCGTGTGACTTCATCAAGTCACACACATGTTGCTTAACCGTCTTGAATGTGTGGCCACGGCTGATGTCTTTCAGGTTGAAACCGTTTTCTTGGTTCCATGCACTGAGCCTGTCGTTTTCCCCCTCTTGCAATCCTAAAATGGTGTCAAACGAATCATCATCCGTCTCATTCATCGTGTCTGAGACAAGAAGCCAAAAGTCTTTCACGGGATTTCAACTAACTCCCTGCTCTGAGAGTGGCTGTTCTTCGTAGTCCTTGCGTCTCTTACTGTTGTTGAGAGCAACAAAGGCATTGAAATTATCAGCGTGGAAGCATATATTCAAAAGTTTGATGAGAGTGTTCATCCTCACGGCTGCGGCATCAGAACCTGGGTTCGCAATAGACAGGTCAGTGTACATAGTGCCCATCTAAATGCTGCGTGCAATCTCCATCCTTGCAGTGAAAATAGTCATGTTACCTCCTCCCCTGACTCCACACTTGAGAGCGAGAGCACGGATATCCTTGCTGGTAAATTTGGACAAGTCCAGGACTTCTTTGTTGGGTTAGTCTTTACAAAGGGTCATTGTTATAGCCACATTGTATATCTCGCCATCCTTGGGACTTTTCTCTTGCCCACACACAATTTTGTGCTTGTGCGTGATGTGGTCGTATCCGCCAACCAGTGCAGAGACAAGCGTTGCAAGCTTAACCTCTTCCACTTTCTTGGCAATCTTTTCGTCGTCTTTCTTCTTTGCAAGCCTAGCGCCTTCCGCTTTCTTGGCACTCTTTTCTATTTCGTTCTTCTTCTTTTGAACCTGTTTGGCAGCTTCCTTGGCAGCCTTCCTCATTGCCGGTGAGGCCGATCTCTGTACGGGAGAGGCGGAGGTAGACCGTGCATGTTCCTTAGGCAAAGGAGTCGTCCTATGACGTGGTGGTTGTTCCCGTAACTCCTGGGCTTTGAGTTGCCCCATGTACATATCTTGGCCAAACTCATCGTCGTAGTATTCCAAAGCTGGTGACGGCACTACAAGAGCATGCTGTTGATGCAGTTGCTGTATCTGCATCTGGTGTCGGTGTTGTATTTCCTGCAAGCTTAGACGTGGACGAGGGAGAGAAGCTGCAACTGGGGCTGCAACTGGGGCTGTGACTGCAATGGAACTGCGACTGCGACTGGGGCCAGGACTGGGGCAGCACGGCTACTCCTCGATGATGACTCAGACTCCTCGGCTTCCGCTTCATCTCTCTTCCTCTTGTTCCGCTCGTCAGACTCCTGTAGTTGCCGTCCTATATCAATGGACCCATCGCTGCCATCTTCGCTCATCGTGACAACGAGTGGAGAGTGCGATGGAATTCGATTCGATTACGGTGATAGGAAGAACTAAAAAAAAGGGAAATTGTGGAGATTGCACTACGCTAAAAGCTAGTGTAAAGATCTTTCGAGTGTTTTGAGTTGGAGAGAATGAAAGTTATGAGAGAGATTAGAAAGCTATGAAAACTAATCAACGAGAGAGATCATCATCGAGGGATCGTAGATCTGGCTTCCCGCGGGAGACTATAAAGTGTGATAGAGTAGGTTGCGGTAGTAATCCTACGTCTCTCCACGATCCTAAAACGGAACGCGTGGAAGGTTTGTCTAGCCTGGATCTAGTAGCGTGGAAGTACTCCACGCTGGCTAAATATCTAGAGCAATGTTTCATCATCAACCTAGTATGACTAGCGCGGTCATTGAGAACCCTGTCTCAAATGACTATTCACGAGAGACTCAGTCATGAGTCGAACTCAAACCCTATCTAGGATCGAGTCGCGAATAAGGCTAAGAGCCGTGTATTGCATTCGCCCCCTGACAAGGGTCACAGAAGGCGCGACAGCAGTCGGACAAGGAGAACATATGATTTAAAGTGCGGGGCACTCTCATGAGATTTGGATGTAGACATGTGCATCGCACGATGGCAATCCTACAAGGGGATCAGGCCTTGTATGGGTGTATATACCTTATGTTCCAAGTCTGGTAGACTGTGCCGCCGTTGGCGGTAGCATGTTGGAGCCGTACAGTGCCATTGTCATTGACTCGGTCTATAGTGTAAGGACATTTGTACTTTGGCTGACCGTACTTGCGGTGCTGATACTGTTGAATCATCACGGTATCGTTGACATTGTATTGATGAGGGACACGCGTCGCGTTTTCCCTGTCGTTGTTTTGTTGGATTAGTCGTTGGCGACGTTCCTTAATGTACTTCCAGTTGGCTTCGAACCGGACGTTGCGAATCGCATCACGATTGAACACGAGCTGTGCGGGCGTCGCGCGCAAGGTGGTATGAATCGTGGCATTCATTGCAAAGCGAACCGCCGTGAGGACTCCATCCCAGGATCCATTCACAAGGTCGTCTTGGCACTTGATGTTTTGAACAGCGATCAAGTTACGTATGGTTTGATGAGCACGCTCGACCATAGAGTTGGCTTGAGGGTTACGCGTAATGATGAACTTGCGACGAAGTCCATATTCATCCCGGAGTGTCTTTTCGACCTCTGCGCGGAACTCGCGTCCTCTGTCCATGATAACCTCAGCAGGCCATGGATACCGAGTAAGCCACGTTTAAAAAAGAGAGAGATGAGAGGATTAGAAAGCTATGAAAACTAATCAACGAGAGAGATCACAATCAAAGGATCGTAGATCTGAACTCCGGGGAGACTGTAGAGTGTGATGAGTAGGTTGCGTAGCAATCCTACTCACTCCACGATCAAAAAACGGAACGCGTGGAAGATTCGTCTAGCATTTATCTAGTAGCGTGGAAGTACCACGCTGGCTAAATATCTAGAGCGATGTTTCATCATCAACCTAGTATGACTAGAGCGGTCATTGAGAACCCTGTCTCAATAACTATTCACGAGAGACTCAGTCATGAGTCGAACTCAAACCCTATCTAGGATCGAGTCGCGAAAAGGCTAAGAGCCGTGTATTGCAGTGGCTTCCTCCACTTTCTTCAATTTCATTCTCCCCTTTTAGCAGGGCTTCCAAGACGACTTTGTTACTATGGCGTCCTTGTTTGGTTGCCCCAGCCTTCCTTTTTTGGAATCATTTGGACCCTTTTCTCGGACCTATGGATGCCCGTACCTGTTACAGTTGGTTACATATGAGTGACCTGTTTCCCCCCTTTTACTACGAACATATATTCATTGTTCGCTTACCTCCACTACTCTTATTAGTAGTACCATAACGAATTTAGCCCCATTCATATCCAACATTGTGTACTGCTTTTCTCCATTTTGGACACCCCTACTTATAGATTTAGTACCTAGGACTCTTTCATTTGGGAAGGAATGGCTGAGCTGTTTTGGATTCCGGGGCTTGGGGAATAGCCTACAACTGCCCTTCTGTAATTACATCACAAAGTGCATCAACTTGTAAGCCATGTATAGAAAGGGGAACGGAATTGGTAGAGGAATAGTGAACGCTTAGTTCAACATTCTGTAACCTTACGCCAATGACTTGTGCTGCAATTGCATCTGTATATGCTGAGTCGATCGTCTTCAATTAGTAGGATAAGAGGTCTTGAATATTGCACAGCTGACCTCACAAAATGGGAAGGATCATTCCTCGGTGTTCTTGTACCCACCATACATAAGCGCAAGGTCAGTTGCCGATTGGTAACCTTACCATCGACTGACCTGGCAATTTTGTACCGACCTCGCTGTTTTCGCGCTACCCATTATGCGCTTCTTAAGATGTCTTTTGGAGAGGATATCCACTGTTGGAGGTCCTTGGAGAGGACTGTTGGTGTGGATCATTCCAATGTATCTAGGCTGAAGGCTATGTATGCTCTGGAACACATAGGCATGCCTCAGCTTTATACAAATTGTCACATGGCTGCAATGCTGTGTGTACTGATTGACTGTACACGATCAAAAGCATTGTTCCATCCGACTAAACCAGCACAGCTGTGGCGCACCCATAGAGGCTCTCTATTGGTAATTTCATAGGACTGCACAGTCTTGCGCAACCCTTTCCAGATGTAGTGTTGACTGATGGTAAGTTCTGTGCGAGTCTCACCAGGATGCATCAGTACACCATGATACACATTCGACCAGCTTCTTCTGCATGGCCTTAGGCAACAATCTTGTCGTCCTGACTACTGGTTCATAGGACTTTCCCCTCTGGGAAAGATTGTTTCTTGTAGCCGTTTGGCTTGTCCCTGAGAGTTTCTTGATATCGTTTCGTCCTTCTGGCGATGTTCGATCTGGGGGAACGAGAGAGGGAAGTCACTAGGAAAGTCCTCTTCACTGCGGCCATGAGCTCAGCAATCTCGCTGGATTCCATTTGTTCTGAAGAACCTGTTGTTCGAGATGTTAGTCTCGACACCGCATCAGCGACGATGTTGTGTTCGCCTTGATGTACCGAATATTCGGGGCCATATTCTTCCAGAAATAAGGCGCCATCGCTTAACGCGATTGGTATTGAAATTCTTGCAGGTGAGATTCTGTGGTCCGTATTTACACATCTTCTGCCAGAAGAATGTTGGAACTCTTTTAGATTCTACGATACTGAGAAGTTCCTTCTCAGTTACCGTATAGCGTGTTTGAGCGGGATTGAGTTTCCTGCTGTAGAACGCGATAGGTTTCCCTTCTGGGAAATCACTGCACCCAGTTGCGTATCACTGCATCCGTGTGGATAACGATGTATCGTTGAAGTCAGGGTAAGCGAGCAAGGTTTCTTTGCTGATGATTTTCTTCATCTTGCGAAAGGCCTCGTCGTGTTCAGTTCCCATTTCCACTTCTTAGTTTTGGAAGTAAGAGTAGCGAGTGGTGCTAGTACATGTGATCTCTGATCCACATGTCTCGATAGTAGTTCACTAGTCCAATGAATCTACGAAGTTCCTTTCTATTCGTAGGAGGAGCGATATTCTGGATCGCATCTATTTCTTGTTTCGGTTGGTTCCTTCTCGAGTAATCCAATAGCCTAAATACTCAAGTTCTCCTCTTGCGAAGAAGGACTTGGTAGCATGATCTTAAGGAGGTACCACCCGCTTTTAGTCACGAGTCGGGATTCACAGCATTTTACTCGAGAAAATCGCGACAACAACAACAAATTAGCGATTTCGTTTTTCCTTTTTGGGACTGGCTGTTGTGCTTGTTGTACTCATATTTGACAGTACCTACCATTCAGTTAAATCTTCGAAACATAGTTGTTAAGAAGGAGTGACTTGGCTGGACAGTTGCAGGGGTCTGGTCGATAGGTCTCAGTAGCAGCAGACTTAGCGGTCAATTTTCGACTGATTTCAGAGTTAACATTGAACTAAACAGTCTAAGCCCCAGGGACTCTCCAACTCGACGGGTACTCTTGTTTGTTATATTATAAGTACTCTTTGTATTGGTCAAAGCCTTAACAGAGGTCTTTATTCTACTCAACTGATCAGTCCAATTCAGCGATTTTTTGTTGTTGTTGTCGCGATTTTACTTGTTAATCCCAACTCATGACTAAAAGCGGGTGGTACCTCCTAAGTCCGGCTTCTCGAAGCCTTTGGAGAACTTCATCTAACTTTTCAACGTGATCTGCTAGATCGCGTTAGTTAGGATGAGTAGATCATCAATGTATGCACGGACATTTCCAAGTGTGCATGAGTGTTCCCATCTTCTCTTGGAAGATGTCGGGACTATTGCATAGGCCCATTGGCAATCTCTGGTACTCGTATTTTCCCCATGGAAGAACGATGGTACAGAGTTGTTTCGAGTGAGGTGACAGCTCGATGTGATAGTATCCCATGTTCAAGTCAGACTAGTAGCGTACTTGAAACCATCTAGATTCAGTAGCATGTCTTGTATCTTTGGGATCGGAAAGGTTTTGCTTAATCTTTTGTTCAGTTCCGGAAGTCAGAGATGAATCGTACAGATCCATCTTCTTGGAATGATAAATGTGGTGCCGCCCACTCGGAACGGTTTACCTTCTTGAGTACTCCTGCTCGCAGAGACGTTCAACCTCCATCTTAAGAGGTTGGTATGGACACGTGGAATAGGATAAGCCCTAGCGTGATAGGGTTTAGCTCAGGGAGAAGTCTACTTCGTAGTGTCC